TGGTTTTTTTTTTTTGGCTGCTGTTGTTGTTGTTGTTTGTTTGTTTTTTTATATGAAAATAATAAGCATAAATTTAATTCAAGTAAATCCTGAAAAAATCTGGTTGAAAATAACAAAGTGATGAAACAGATCACTCTTGCTTGATTTATAAAGGTCACAGCGAAAGAAAAAATAGTGAGGTGGTTCTATTCTAAATTTCATAAATTCCTCCCGCCTCATATCCATTATTCATTCCTTTTTGGCTGCCACTTCCCCTTCTCAGTTTGTTCACTTTGTTTTACTACAAGTGTACCTCAGTATTTGGTAATTAACTGATTGAAAAAGAGCATTTAAATTTAAAGATACACAAAGTATACTGGCAATAGGAACTACCAATGCATTTACAAAGTAACCAGGGCCCGGTTGCACCAACAGGGCGTAAATTAACTCGGCTACGACTGTCGTAAACCGCAACGCCTGGCGTCCATGCGCCAGGTTTACTCTCCCTGCTTACGCCCGTTGCACCAAGACAAAAACTGATCGTCTTAACTACGCCCGAGTAACGCTCCGTTGCGCCACTGGCCAACAATACGTGGATGGTATAATTGGGCAAATGAGGATTAAAGAAACCGTACTGCTGAGAGCCAAGGCGTGTCGACATGAGTGGTAAGATTTAATTTGAACACATGCATGTACATGGCTACACACTTAATGTATTCAAAAATCACACACACACACACACACACACATATATATATATATATATATATATATATATATATATATATATATAAGTGTATAAAATTAGTTTTTTAAAAACCAAGCTATACAGACGGAAATTTTGTAAGAAACAAACAAAAAACAACCCACATAATCTACGTTAACTACGATAATTGTCATCAAACTCTCTCTGTGCCAGCCTAGCCATAGTGGAAAACGAGCTACGACCGACTTACTCCACCTAGCTAGCAGGCGTAAATTTACGACTAAGTTAAGACCGACGTAAACACTACTCCAGTTTGGTGCAACTGGCTTTTCTCGGGCGTAGCATTTTGCACCCGGTTTACGCCAGCGCAACTGCTACGCCTCACTTACGACCGGTTGGTGCAACCGGGCCCAGGTTTATATGCTCTTTTTTGTATTTTAGGAAACTTCACCAACCCAGATGACTTGAACCTAATAATAGCAAGGAATACACGCTTAGAGATCTATGTTGTCACGCCGGAGGGACTAAGACCAGTCAAAGAAATTGGCATCTATGGCAGGGTGGCTGTTATGGAACTGTTCAGACCACCGGTATGGTTTGATTGATTTAGAATGGGCTGATCCTTGGGGGTTGCAGGATAATAATGTAAATGACTTAAGTTTTTTGAGACAGGATTACAATGTATGCAGTTTTGCTTCTTATTCATTTCATTCCAGTTGTCATTTGTTAGCCCTCTTATCGAAGCTAGCACCCTAAATAATGGAGAAATAAATACCTACAAAATTTGATGACTGGAAAGGATTTTGCAGTAAAATATGTGGAGATTTGTCACTGTGTACTGTGAAACACTTCATGTACATTTTTCTGTAAGGAAAGTATAGTGTGTTTTCATGCTTATGTAAGTAAAAGATCTCCATTTATTTCAGGGTGAAAGTAAAGATGTGATGTTTTTACTGACCTCCAGATATAATGCTATGATACTGGAATGCCAACAGGAAGGAGAGCATATTGAAATCATCACCAGAGCACATGGAAATGTTCAAGTAAGTTTACTGTGAACAGCCATATAATACATTATACTACAATATTGAACTGTGTGGTTTTATTTTTTTGGAACCAGTTAGCAAACTATGAATTTTTGGGAGAGAATAAGTAAAGTTAATAATTGAAATTGTTTTACTCTGTAATGACATTTGTCAAAAAATGTAGAAAGAGGTTAATATTTTAAGTTGAACTGCCACATTTAAACAAAGCCTTTTAATCTTAACTTGTTTATTGCCATTTAGTTTAATCCACTGGAATTGTATTTACAGGACAGAATAGGACGTCCCTCTGAAACTGGCATCATTGGTATAATAGATCCTCTCTGCCGTGTGATAGGACTTCGGCTTTATGATGGGTTATTTAAAGTCATACCACTGGACAGAGAGAACAAAGAATTAAAGGCATTCAATATAAGGTATAGGGCCTTTTTCCATGGTGCCTCACCGGAAGAAAATCTTTAAAGCATGCTGCTACAGTTGAAGTCATTTGGCTTTGGTTCAATTTTTTAGGCAAAATATGACTCATATGAATGATTGGTTACTTCTATTGTTTTAGTTTTGTCACTCACATATTTTTAATAGTGTTTCAAATACAAAATTCAGAGTGATGTTATTCGATATTTGGCAAGTAAAGTAAAGGTTGAAATGGCCTTTTTCCTATCCTTTATTCCAGTTGTTGTATTTTATTTAAAATGTGTCATTTTCCACTGCAGATTAGAAGAACTGTATGTGATAGATGTCCAGTTTTTATTTGGTTGTCAAGTTCCAACCATTATTTTGGTTCACCAGGTATGTGTGTTCACAGCGAGATAATTGTTTATGAGTTGAATTATTATTTGTTGATGATAAATACGTAATTTGTGCCCTGTGAAACTTGCCTGAAAATGTGTTTGATTTATTTTTCATAACAAAGTAGAAACAAAAGGTCATCTGTGCTCTAAGTAGCTATAGATCAGTTAAAAATTACTCTTGGTAACTTTTAAATTTTTGGGTATTTGCTGTAGGACCCACATGGAAGACATGTCAAAACATACGAAATTTCTTTGCGGGATAAAGAGTTCCAAAAGGGTCCATGGAAACAAGACAATGTGGAAACTGAGGCCTCCATGGTGATAGCAGGTACAATTCTCTACTTGTTTTATCAGTTTAATAGCTGTGGTGCAGTCAAATAACCTTTCATAAAGGGGTTTGGTTTGCCTTTTTAAAAAGCTGTAAGCATATTAGTTTTTATGCTGAATAACAGAATAGGCCATCAGTGATGTTGTAAAATCACCAAATGTTTTATGAACTCGAATTGCAGTGATTTGTCTCTCTGTTTGCATGCAATGGCATGCTGCCCCGTTACCCTGTCACTGTATACCCTTTCAGTTCCAGAACCATTTGGGGGAGCTCTAATAATAGGACAGGAGTCCATCACGTACCACAAAGGAGAAAACTACTTGGCCATTGCACCACCCATGATAAAAGTGAGATAATGTTTTTACATGTTTATTGAAAATTTCATTAAAATAGCAAAATGATAATTTTCCCAACTCAGGTACAGAATTGTTTATTATTTTTTAAATGGTGTGTAGCCAAATGCCAACAAGTTAATCTGTTTGCCACTTTGTTATGTCCTGGAGCTTTTTTTCACTGGCACTGATAAGTCAAAATCCAATTATGTTTGTTGATGATGTTTTATATAAGCTAATATAAAATGCTCATGAGATAAAATATATTTCAGAAAAGGAGGCTCACAACTTTGAAAAGTCTTGGAGCTTTTTTTTTCACTGGCACTGATAAGTCATAATCTAATTATATTTGTTGATAAAGTTTTATATAAGCTAATAAAACTACTTGTGAGATGAAATATGTCATAAAAAAGGAATCGTGAAATCTATGCTCAAGCTCACTAACCAAAACCTTCCTTGTAACTGTTTCAGCAAAGTACTATAACCTGCTATGGTAAGGTGGATTCTAATGGGTCTCGCTATCTCCTGGGGGACATGCAGGGCAGGCTCTTCATGCTTCTTTTGGATAAAGAAGAAAAGATGGATGGCACCATGACAGTTAAAGATTTGAAAGTGGAACATCTAGGGGAAACCACTATTGCTGAATGTATTACATATTTGGACAACGGTGTGGTTTATGTAGGTTCCAGACTGGGAGACTCACAACTGGTGAAAGTAAGTGCAGTGTAACAAGTGATGTAAAACTTGATCATTGTTTGATTGCTTGTTTATTATCCATCACTGTTCTGACATTAAATATATAGTTAGAAGAAGGCACTTGGAATGTAAGCTTTAAATAATTTTTAAAATGATGTTGGGGAGCTATTAAACCAATGTTGATTTTTTAAGAAGTTGTTAGTTAATTTTTCCATGTTCCTTCCTTGTAGCTGAATGTTGAAGCAGATGACGCAGGCTCTTATGTTCAGACAATGGAAACCTTCACTAACCTTGGTCCTATTGTGGACATGTGTGTAGTTGATCTGGAGAGACAGGGACAAGGACAGGTAACATCAGGGAACTCAACACTGTCATTTGTTATTAATCTGTATTCGTTGTAAGAAAAATTTAACATGGTTTCCTATTTAGAAAGAATGGTACTTTAAATGAATTAGCAATTTTAAGGGAAACATTCTTAGTATTGAATTAAGAGACAAAATATTTGGACATCATTTGTTGAAATGCAGATGGCTAAAACAGCTGTTGTGTCTTTTAGCTTGTGACGTGTTCAGGTGCCTTCAAAGAAGGCTCTCTGCGTATAATAAGAAATGGTATTGGAATACATGAGCATGCCAGTATAGACCTGCCTGGGATTAAAGGTAAGAAATAGGTTGAACAAAGAATTCACTTGGTATTGAAACTATTTAGTTCATAAAATGAAACTTTTTTTACAGTTATTCCATGTACAGAGCAATAGCAAGAGCTTTAAACATGCCATATAAACTGTTATTCATATGTAATCAGGCACATCTAAGGCACATCTTTATCAGGTGTTTGAAATGGAAAGTTCTGCATGGTTGATAGTATGCAATACAAATGTTAATTGTAAGCTTTAACCTTTCAGGTATTTGGCCTTTGAGGGTAGGGTCCACAGACTATGACAATATGCTAGTCTTGTCATTTGTTGGCCAAACGAGGTAAATCCCAGACAAATTTTCAATTGTCGTATCATTTACTTTGTTATTTTAATTAAGATATAAGATGCTTCTTTTGAATCAGTAAAATGTGTATTACATTTATTGAATTATATAACATCTGTACTACAGAGTTCTCATGTTAAGTGGAGAGGAAGTAGAAGAAACAGAAATTCCTGGATTTGATGGAAACCAACAGACATACCATTGTGGAAATATTACTGGAAATCAAATTGTACAGGTACATTTTCTAGAAATTATGTGAATATTTTCATAATATATATATATATATATATATATATATATATATATATATATATATATATATATATATATTTACAGTGGTAGTTAGAAAGGCACTTTAGAGCTAACAAGATGGGATTCTTATTTTTTGGAGAAGAATTTTAGACAAAAAATGTAAGTGATTACTGGCGTGTTACTTATCAACTATAGCATATAAGGGAGACATTTACTGTGAACTTGTTCTTTACCTATAGATTACTTCATCATCAATTCGACTTGTGGGTTGTTCAACCAAAACATTAGTGTCAGAGTGGAAGCCACCTTCTGGCAGGAATATCAGTGTTACAAGCTGCAACAAATCGCAGATTGTTTGTGCTGCAGGAAGTGAAATATATTATGTGGAAATTGGAAAAGGCCAGTTAAATCAAATCAGGTAAGTCTTTTGAATTTTTAGTGACTAGAGTGTTAGGAATTTGGTATTTCAATTAAGTTCTATCAAGTTTGATGCTTTTATCAGTGACCAAATTTTCCATTCTTGTTATTAATTGAATATGAATTACAAGGTCTGTTTATTGGTGAAAAACTGCTGTGTATACAGAAACATTTAATGGTTTGGGCATTATGTTTACAGTGATACCAAAATGGATCATGAGGTTGCCTGTTTGGATATTACTCCTCTGACAGAGGGCTCAGATAAAGCTGAGATCTGTGCAGTAGGACTGTGGACAGACATCTCAGCCCGCATTCTCAAGTTACCAAATTTTGACAGCATGCACGTTGAAATGCTGGGAGGAGGTGAGTTTTTTGCCTTTCTGAAATCACTTGAAATTTTTGTTCCCTGGGCTTCATATCTGTTGTTATCTGAATTTTCAACATACTGTTTTATAAAACATGTCTCCACCATATTCTTATATTAGAGTATTGTTAGTTTTGAGGTGAAAATTTTGAAGGGCTTGGGTAGTAGGCCTGCTTATTATGTGACTCAGTTGTACAAGGGGGTTTGGTAACTAGGTAATTAAACTCATTTTCCATTTAATGCAGACATGTTCTTTATGATAATAAATTTGTCTGACTGCAATTATTTTGTATGCCTTTCCAGAAATTATTCCACGTTCTATCCTCATGACTCCTTTTGAAGGCATCCACTACCTCCTGGTTGCATTAGGAGATGGATCTCTCTTTTACTTCAACATGGATGTCAAAACAGGTAAATTTGCTTTAATATCTATTTTTGAAAATTCCCTTACGCCCCATTTCCATAGATTTTTAGATCGATCTATCCCTATGGGGAGTCTCACTAGATTACTGTCAGCTTGGCCGGCTTAAGTGTCTGTCCCGCCTACTAAAAGCTGTAAGGGGGTAATTAACTATGGTGCCCGCTCGGCTGACTGCAATTTAGCGTGAACCCCCAGGGAGTTGGGTCGATTTAAATCTTAATCTTAAGATCGATCTAAGTCTCTGGGAAAGCACCCTTAGAAAACAAAAAGGAATTTTGAACTACTTTTATTGCACTTTTGAAAATATTTAAGTCGAACAAAGCATTTTTTGGAAGATTTGTGATAATTAGACATCCATTTTTAGTTAACTATTTATTATTATTATTGTTTATTTATTAATTCTTTTGTACTACCTTTGGGCTCAGTTTGTTAGCTTTGAATTTTTCAAAATAAACATTAAGAGACATTCTTCTTCCAGGATACCTCAGAGACAAAAAGAAGGTGACTCTGGGTACTCAGCCAACAATGTTGAAAACATTCAAGTCCCTGTCCACTACCAATGTATTTGCCTGCTCTGACAGGCCCACAGTGATCTATTCTAGTAATCACAAGCTTGTCTTCTCAAATGTTAACCTCAAAGAGGTCAATCACATGTGCCCATTGAACTCTGAAGGCTATCCTGACAGGTGATTTTTTTTCTTAATGGCTGAATGTCGAACTTTCAGTATTGGTTAAATTGAGGGCCATTAAATAATTTGATGTTGTATGCTCAGTAATAATTATGATTTAAGCAAAGAGTTGTAAAAAAATTTTTTTCGAAGGTACATTTTCAGGATTAAGAACTTTTTTTCTATTTTCCAGTCTTGCTCTTGCAAACAACAGCACCCTGACAATAGGAACAATAGATGAGATTCAGAAACTTCATATCAGAACAGTGCCATTAGGAGAATCACCAAGGTGGGGGAATTAATTTTTTATTGTTTCAAAGATAAAGTTTTTAAAAATGTGGTGGCATTCATCAGATCATAGAAAGGTAAAAGTTTGAATTTTTGTATTCTAGCAGTTCCCATGAAAAAAGTATCTGCATTTGAAGCAACTTATTCTTTTAAATGACAAGTCCATCTGATTTTAAAGATAAGAACTATTATAAAATTATTAATTTACACACCACAGGAGGATAGCCTATCAAGAAGCCACGCAAACATTTGGCGTGATCTCAATGCGTATGGACATCCAGGATTCTGGTGGTATCACTCCATCTCGGCACAGTGCCAGTCTCCAGGCCCAGACTGTGTCCAGCAGCTCCAACAGCAAGGTCCTGTCCAGCACCAGGAAGGAGAGTAGTTATGGAGATGAAGTAGAAGTGCATTCACTGCTGATTTTAGATCAGCACACTTTTGAAGGTAAAATATAGGGGTTGGCTTTATATTCATCAAAATAAGAATTACTTAGTATTGGCATGAGTTATATTTCGCCTTTATTGTCTGTCAGTTATTACAGCTGCTGTTTCGGTTAAATCTAGCAAAGAGGTGACCTAAACCAAAGTCAATAATTGTATATTAGACACTTAACTGCCTTAAATATTTCATTGATAAAATTGTCATAATCACAAAATTAACACAAATAACCTGTATGCCTTTTCTAATTACAACAACTAATAACCTGAGTTACTGTTCAAACTCCAGTTCTCCACTCTCACCAGTTCATGAACAACGAGTTTGCAGTAAGTCTGATCTCTGCAAAACTGGGAGATGATGGCAATGTGTACTATATAGCAGGGACAGCAGTGGTGTTCCCTGATGATGCTGAACCAAAGCAAGGACGGATTGTTATCTTCCACTGGCATGATGGTAGGGGGATGTTTAGTTTAGAGTACCTGAAGAACTCTCGTTTTCTGTTTGGTACAGATGCTGAAGAGCAGCACTGGCTGACATACTCTCTTGCTGATTAATAGATTTTGTTAACATGGAAATCTGGTAAAGTCATGAGGAGAATGTTTGACAAGTGGCACTAGCAGAACCACACCAGAGCAAATGATAATTATGGAAGTGCAATGCTTCTTCCATTATTGATAATCATCAGTTAAATATTGAAATAATCTCAGTACTTACAAGTCAGTTTCTTAACTACAGATCTTATCTTTTGTTTAACAAATGCCATGTGACAATTGTGATCCTGAAGGAAGACAAACATGATTTTCAGGCTTATATTATGTCTCGCTATTCTACAGGCAAACTAACTCAGATAGCGGAAAAGGAGATCAAGGGAGCAGCATACACACTGGCAGAGTTTAATGGAAAGATACTGGCCAGCATCAACAGCACAGTGAGTTCAGAAGTTTACTTTCATAATTAGGTCTTGGAAGGAAATACGATTTTAGAAAAAAAAAAGGGAGTTTTCAGAATTTTCTTTGTTGTAGATTACCAATGAAATAAAGATGGGTGGCTCTTTTGAGAACAAACAATTGGCTAATTTGTCATTTTAAGTGCAGGTATTTTTATGTATATGTATAATTGTTTTTGTCTGGTTCATATTGTCACTATTGATTACAGGTCCGTTTATTTGAGTGGACTAATGACAAGGAATTGAGACTGGAGTGTAGTAGTTTTAACAACATAATTGCTCTTTACTTGAAAACAAAAGGAGACTTTATTCTAGTTGGTGACTTGATGAGGTCCATTACTCTGCTCCTGTACAAGCAAACAGAGGGTACATTTGAAGAGGTATGTAATGCATAAAAATATATGCAATATGTAAATATAAAGGGAAACAATATTTATAGAATATCATGTATAAACAGATCAAATGCCAAATGAAAAAAATCTGTGAGATTTTATTGGTAAAGTTATTTTAATAATTAATGTTGAGTTATTAAATTTTGGTACATTACATGCATGTGCATCAATGAAGTAATTGAATATTTTCTGTTTCAGATTGCAAGGGACTTTAATCCAAACTGGATGTCGGCCATAGAAATTTTGGATGATGACACTTTTCTTGGTGCTGAGAATTCTTTTAATTTGTTCACATGCCAAAAAGATAGGTGAGAGTTGTTACTTTTAAGAATAAAGAAAATATTATTTTGTACTATTTTAGCTGGCAGATTACAATGGTTGATGAAAACAATATACAGAAAGTACGTGCCAAATTAGTGATGGAATCATTTTATGTTTTCCCTGAATTAAAATAAAGACTTGCGTTTCAGTAATATACTGGAATTAAAGGATATTTTTGATTGTGTTTTAGTGTTGTTTTATGTGCATTTCAGTGCGGCAACCACAGATGAGGAAAGACAGCATTTACAGGAAGTTGGATTATTCCACTTGGGAGAATTTGTAAATGTCTTCAGGCATGGTATGTAAAATGTACTTATATGCTGGGATCATCAGTTATTTTGAATTTTAAATGTCTACCAATAATCTTTAGATAAAGATTTAGACAAATGATTACTATTTATTTATTTATTACACTTTATTTAGATAATGAAAGGAAAATTGTTGAAAGCCTTGTTTGCCATTTTGAAGTAAACAGTAATGGTAATACTGGCAAGTGTAATTAAATGGATGCATTATGTCATTGCAGGTTCTCTGGTGATGCAGCACCCAGGGGAGACGACCACACCAATCCAGGGGTCTGTTCTCTATGGGACAGTCAATGGAGCTATTGGTAGGTTGTTCTTGTTCTTAAAAAAGACAGAGAAAGTTCACTGTAAAAATAAAGTTGAAAAAACATTAATATTTGAGTTTATGGTTGTTTATTTGTGTATTCCAATTTGAATACTTTTTAGGTTTGGTCACCCAGCTGCCCCAAGACTTCTACAACTTTATGTTGGACATCCAAACAAGATTGAGCAAAGTGATAAAAAGTGTTGGAAAGATTGACCATTCCTTATATCCTTTACTTAAGTTAAGAACTGCTTGAAGTAAAATGGATTGATAAAATATTTTCAAACCATCATAGGAAGTCGTGGGAAGTGATTTTGTATTTTTGTCTGGAGGGATGATTTTGTTTGATATCCCATAGGCTGCTGTTATGTAACGGCACTCAGGTCATACTTACCAGTAAATTAGTTAATATATGAAGTTGTCCTGGTTTTAACAAGAAATGCATTATGCCATATTGGGATTAGTGGATTTAGAATATGCCTGTATTGAGACTGGGCCTGCGCCATAAATTTGAAAATATTTGACTCCTTAACTGCACTCCACCTGGCGATCATTTTACACAGAGAGAAAGACGGAACCAAGTACGGGATTCATAGATGGTGATTTGCTGGAGAGTTTCCTAGATCTCAGCAGGGACAAGATGCAAGAGGTGGTCACAGGAATGCAGGTACACACAACAGTACAGTGGGGTGTAGAATTTAGTGGGTGCATTGTGTTCCAAATTGAATGCAAGCTACTTCTGGACATGCCTCTTTATCTGGATCAGTATTGTTAAGAACTTGTAATAGGTAGTCAATGATTTTATTAATGCATTTATTACCTACTTTCTTTTACTGTTCATTTCTTTTTTTAATTAAAAGAAAACTGCATAAGGCAAAACAGAAATGATGACAGTGCATACGAAAATTGAGTATTTCTTTCTTTATAGATTGATGATGGTAGTGGCATGAAAAGAGAGGCAACTGTAGATGACTTGGTGAAGACCATTGAAGAATTGACAAGGATTCATTAGTTTCAGCTTTCCAATACACTGAATATAGTTGCTTCTTTAGTGAGGATGGAATGCCCATCATTTTCTAGAATCCTGATAACCCTGGGAAGTGTCAATGAAATGCCAACTTTATTTGGAAAATTTCGCAGAATGCCAATCTAGTTGTTGGTTGAAAATTTCAAGATGTAAATTCTTTTCAGTTCACGGTGGATTTGAGATTTGCAGTTGTCAGAGCAAGAGATTGACCAAAATAGCATTTGTAACTACAGAACATTGTCCCAACAAGTTGCATTGTTGCACATGAAGATCTAACTGCACACAAGTTCTGGACAACCAACAATTCTATTTTATCCGTTATAACAATCCTTGAACCCTATAGTGTGTAGTTTGCTGCTCTGAAGATAAATGCAAACCATGAGAAATGTGTATATAGTGCCAGGTAGATTAAAGGACAATTACTTGTCAGGTTTTGCAGAACATTTTCAGTGTAAATGAAAATGAAGAAATACTGTTAAATCCAAAATCTTCAATACAGTGAAATTAAGGGAGCCTTATTGAAACAATTGTTGCTTATTGTAAGTTTTCAAAATTGAATTATGTACAAAAACATATTGGCTTCCCCATGTTCTACAAAGAATATTAAATAAAGATTTGAGCAATTAAGAATATTTTTTACTCTGAATCCAAATGGCAGTTAACAAAATGTAAAAAATGAAAAAATAATCAGTCGGCAAAGACGATGAGTAATTCAAACAATTGTTTACTTAAAGAAATTTATTGTCACTGCTGAATGTAGGCACAAAAAAATGGCATAGAGACTTAAAAATAGACTTTTAGTGTGTATGCCAAAATAATTTCAATAAAATGGGGAGGGGAGAGACTTATGAAACTGCATTACAAAATTTCATGCGGGTGTTTGCCTACCATATTGCAAGGGGTAAAACCAGCATCTGCACAATGTTATGAAACAATAAGACTGGTTCTGGTTGCTTCTATTTTTGCAATAACAAAGGCTGGAGAGAAGGGCAATTAAAATGTTTAACACACTTGGTAGAATAAGATCCTTAGTTGGCACTCTGAGTTCTGTAATAAGTGTACAGAACTGCTTAAACTGTCCATAATGCCACAGAAATTTCTGTTATATAAAATAAGCTTTTGAATCCACACACTGAGCTTTCATGAAATGGTAATGAAAATGATCTTTGAAACTGTGCCAGCAGCATGCTTTAATTTAGTGTATATAAATCACTTACAGTACAAAGCATTTCCTGTAGTCTCATTCATTCTAGGAGCCAAAGGCTTAATTCTTTAGAAAATAAATAAATGTAGTGACGAAAAAGCCACAAGATTATTTCATGATACAGGGAGGGAAGCTTCATCTTTGTCTCTGTGATGAATGAAACTACTTTTCACTTAAGATTAAAATATTCTCGCGATAAATGGATTGTTACAAACTGTAATGATCAATGGGAAGGGCTGAAAATGTTATCCTCAAAACATTAAATAGATGTCACTGGCAAGTGCTTGATATTCTTCCTTGGATGATAAAATTATAATTCCCAATTGTTTATGTTCAACCTTGCCATAATGACCCTTGCCCAATCTTCGACTCTGAAATTCCATAGCCAATGCTGGAAAGCCACACCACTCAGTAAGAAACTAAGATTTTCCAGATGCAAGAAAGTCCCCATGAATGCTTTCGTTTGTCTTTTCTTGTCAAAAGTTCTCAACCAAAGTTAAAGTTGGTGGGAACAGATACATTGGCAAAGACGTACCCACCACTCTTCTCTATCTTCTTTGAATCTGTAACATCAAATAGAAAAACCTCATCAAATCTGTTAATATTGGAAAACATTGCCTTAAATAATTTACATTTAAAAAACTCCCTATCACATTTGTACCTTTAAAATTCATGTTGTGAATAAAAGTATGGCTTCTTAATTTAAAACACAAATGTCTCCCTACCTGTTTTACGACACTCTACTTTGAATGAGCATGTACAAACACATGGTTTAATTGGTTTTATAAGCAAAAAAAAAAAAGAAAAAAAAACTGATTTACCCTGGACAGCCTTCCTCTGTTCAGCATATGTAAAGACTTCATTTAATTCCTGTTGTTGTTCCTGTGTTAATTGACTAGTTAGGGAGCTGTACCAGCTGGGATCCCTGCTTTGTAAGCCTAAGACATGAAAATAATCAATTAATCACCGACAGCTCAAGGATCTCAATTTATTTGGAAATCTGTTTTAAACGCCATCTCAGAATTAACTTGATAAAGATGGAGATCTTAACATTATAAAATACTTACTTTGTAGTACAGTTTTAAAGACCTGATATTCATCTACTGTGCAGTCATCATCATCTAAAGGTGTCCTGTAACTTTCTAATGCAGTTTCTTCTGCCTCGTCGTCATATTCGTCATCACTGTCATCATCTCCATTTGCCTAGAAATACCAAATAAAGCAAATGGGTAATAACACTACTCTGTTTCAGCTTTTCTACGTTTCCTTTACAATTTTTTATTGGATGTGGCACAAACTGTATCCATATTTAAGAAATTATCCTATCTTTCTAATTATCTTATCACGTTCACTACTATGGTAGATCTTTACAGCACATCAGCAGCCATGATATCTGGATATTTCAATATTTGAATCACATCCATTGACTTTATATGTTATGTGATACTTGGTATTTGATTTTTTAATATCTGCAAACAAAAAGCAGGTCTCTATCATTCCACTTTCTAAAGTTTTGTTTTTCAACCCACCGATCTCTCCAATTTTTCTAAATATTCAGCACCTTCTTCATCAATTTCATCTTCATCACTCCCTAATTCATCTACAATAAAGTTGGAAATACAGATTGAATGCAAGACAACTTGAGCAAATATAGTCAATTATGTTATTAAAAAAAGTCAGCAAGGAAAAGGATTTCCACTTTCAGTTAACTGAATAAAAATCCTGCTCAATTTCTTAATGTGTATTTCAAATCTTTCTTACCTTCCTCGTATTCTTCATCTTCATCATCACCCTCTTCATTTTCAGCTGCTGCTCGACCTAAGGAAAAGAATAAATTCTTCATTACCAAATAATCACTTTAATTTCTCACCAGTTGCACTTGTCTCTTTTATTCTATACTCCATCTGATAAATAATATCAAAATCAATTTTAATTCTCCAAATGTTATTCAATGTCAATCTATGAAAAAAATCAAACACGTGAGACACAGTGTGTCAAACTCACTTGCGTAAGCCCTTTTTAGACCTGCAAAGAGCAGCAGAGCGGAGGGGAGGATCTGTGAGGCATTCTCATTGATGGCAGCTGGGCGAGTAGAGGGTGTGTCCATTAACGTACAAAGACCAAGGACACTGATTTTTCTGTCATGAAGACTGTAGACAAAAGAATAAAAACAGGTAATAAATATTTAAAGAAATTACACTATTACTGTACTCTGACCAATATGTAATAATAGGGGTTGACAATTAACATTGTTATTTACTGAGAAATGACAAAAGATGTCAAATGCCATTCAGCTTTATTCAATTGTTGACATCCAATTCCTTAAATCATTGTGCAACTAACGGACATAATTACACTAGTTCAGTCTCTTACCCAAGGAAACAATCACAGTCGTGTAACCACTGTTTCACAAACTGTGCTGTGATGGAATCTGTGATATTTGGTAAACGCATCTTGTCCAGCATGTCTAGCAAGGCCTGAGGATTGTAATAGAGTGCAGCAATGACAACCTGCAGACACATTGTTCTCAATTCCGAGGTCCTCACTTTTCTTGTTAATCTCTCAAGAGCCAACTCCACAAATGACGGAACCACCTGAACATTGAATGTCAATAATAATAATAATAAAAAGTATTAACTTGTAAATTAATCTAGTTGGCGTTGTAACACAATATCCATTGGTGAACATGATAAAAATAATCAACAAAATAATAATGAGGAAACATGCAAGAATACTTGCCCTACAGTATCATCTAACAACACAATAAACAGCAGTGATCCCATAAGGAGCAAATAAATTCTATTCATCATATTAATACAACACCATGGTCAACAAGCAAAAGATGATCTATATATAATTCTCAGAGATCAACTAGTTTTCACATGTGCACTTACAGGGTCAACTTGTCCTTTGTACTGGAGGAGGATCACCTCTAGCAGCTTGGCAGCATGGCACTCTGCATCCTCACCAGCATCTCCTGTCATTACCTAGACAACACAAGGCATTGGAGAGGTTGTTCAATAATGTCTACATTCTACTAAACTATAGATTAAGTATAAACCATGAGCCATTGTACAGCTTGATTTTCTATCAAACTGGTATGTAAAAGCAAAATATACTGGAAGTATCAAGCAGTACTTGATCATGCCCTAATAACAAAAAAAAATAAAATAAAAAAAATAAAATAATAATAAATAAATAAATCACGCATAAAAATCTTTGCATTTCTTACAGTTTTACACATGTTGTAGATGATCTCTAAATGCTTGGGATTTGCAAGGAAAGCTTGTGGATCTACTGTGACATAGTTGTGGAGGGCTGGCATCATGTCTGGAAGAGATATGAAAATATAAACTCATGTAAACCCAAAGCAGATGTGAAATCACTGACATACTGCTTCTAAAGCTTATTATAAAGTGCAAATCACTCTTCAAAACAACTCTTACTACATGACAGCCTTATAAATAAGTATTCATATTACCTGTGAAGTAATCAAATCCATCTTTCTGAAATATTTCATAGACCATATAAAAGACCTGCCACAGGTGCTGTGAGATTTGTGTACATGTCAACATATACACAAGAGATAAAACTTCTTCATAAAATTCTGCAAAGAAATGGACAAGAAAAACTTATTTGAAAGTCAGAGCGGCAGCATTTGAAGAAACAAAAAAAAAAGAAAAAACAACTAAGAAATGTATTTTTGCTCTCATCCTAATCCATAAAAATGTAAGAATTTGAAAGTGCAATTTTTAAAATTGTAACAAACTCCCACATTATCACGAAAAGACATCTTTAAAACAAATGTGTGGCAATTTATTTTTGTGTACTCACCAATCATATTTTGCTGGAATATTAATCCTATTACATTTAAAACAATTCCCTCCAGCTGATTTAAAATCTGGAAAAAAGTAAAAAATCAAATTAAACCAATCAAAGGTAATGCAAATCTTAATACACACTACTTGTATTCTTAACCTTCTGATAGCAAAGATGATGGAATTCAATTGATTATTATAGGTTAAAAAAAAAAAAGAAGCTAGGTACTTACTTCTTTTTGCTCTTCCATCACATTAAGAATGGTTTCCAGAGTGTTGAGAATGCCCATGGCAGCAATAGCCTTCTCATCTGAGCCCTCATCTGAGTCTGAGTCAACAACTTGCTGGAAAGTTTGAGCCTGAAAAAAAAAAACCAGTCTTTGCTTTACTTTCAAACCATTTTAAGTGGTTTAACCACCTCACCATCAGAAATTACTTATACTATACAACTTGCAGAAATATTGTGAAAATTTACCATGCTGTGTGGGCCATAAAAGAAACTATGACTAAAACACCTAAATGGAAAGAGATGAAAAACAAATCTCCTTCCCCTCCATTCAAACACCTACCAAGTGTGTAGTGACCTCAACTGCCAGAGGAGCCACCTCTTCAACAAATGTGCAAACCATTTTCTGCATAACACTAGTCATATCATCATTCTCTGTTTCTCGTATCACATTCAGCAATTCTAAAAATAAACAAGAAAAATAATTAAGTACAAGTATGGAAAGATCGAAAAAGTCTTTGCAAATAGGCAGGAAAACTATAGTTATAAGACTAATACTAAAAAACAATTCTGAGTCACACTTAAGTTTTTAAGCTGTACCTAAAATAATGGGTTTCACATGTGGCTTCACCATGTCTTCTGCCTTTTCTTGGTTGGTGATCAGCATCTGGAGAGCAATGGCAGCCTCTACTCTCACAGGCAGCTCTTTGTCTGTGCACAGGCAGGTTCGACACAAATCAAGGCCTCTAGCAAGGTTTGCATCATCCTTGAACTTCACTTCACAAAAGTAGTGCAAAACCCAGCATGCCTACAGAAACAAAAGTACTGAATTATGTCACAAACTCTGTACCTTAATGGAATTGTGCAAGGAAAGGATTTGAATGGAGGGTTAATGCACTGAACTAGAAACTTGAGACATAGTACAAACATGTGCCTGCTGGACTTCTTAAATGACCAATTTTCTTACCCGTGCTCGCAAAAACCCGCATGGGCTCTCAAATTCCGGGAAGACATGGTTGGCCAGCATCAGCTCAACCTGGTCTTTGTAGATTTTTTTCTGAAACAAAAAATACTTTGTTAAATAATCATTTTCTTAGCAAAATAGAAAACGGTATAAAATGCCAAGTAAGTATATGTCTTAGTACCATAAATTGTTAAACTAATTGTGATGAAATCTTTAAAACTCACTTTTAATAGAACATCTGCTAGTGCTCCAATAATGTGCAAAACTCCGTCTTTCTGTCTTGGCTCAGTGCCAGTGGAAAGCATCTGCATACAAAAGCCCATCGTCTTCTGCAGGATCTCTTTTCTCTTGCTTGCAGCAGAGTGTAGAAGTGTCTGAGCTGCAGTACTAGGGGATAGGAACTCTTCAAACACATCTAGAAATACAAACAGAACATATAAATTTGCTTTGATATTCAGAAAATGTCTTAATTTTAGATAAATACTCTGAGAAGAAACTTGGAATCACTCTGTGCAAGTTGAAAATGAATATCTGAGAAACCTTAAAATAAGTAGCTTCTCAAAATACTCAAATACCTACAATCAGACCGTATTCAATTTCTCATCCTCCAACAAAAAGCAGTGTGATCAGATTCCAATAATCGTCTTTATGCAAGGAGCAAGAGCCTCCCCGCTCACTATTGTCCCTGGCAGTGACCCTCAATCCTTCCTAATCTGCACCCAAGAAAACCCTGACTACAGACCAGTTCAGACTTGAGAATACCCACACCAAGAGGTGCTGCCAGAGATGAAGTGGGCATGACTCAGAGAATGGATTAAGCAGTTACATCATTTCACACAGCCAGAAAACAAGGTTTTCAAAAGATATCCTACCATATTTCGTTCTGATGTATTCATGAGGATCTGTTGTCCATAATTCTTCATCTTCATCACTATGGCATAGTAGAGGGAACAATACCTCTCTCACTAACGTCTAAAATAGCAACACATTTGGGAATAGAGGAAAATAAATGTTTTCTTTGGATCAAATGAAGGACAGTGTTCAAACATACTGAATATAGTCATTATCTAAAACAACCAGATTATAAAATTCACACAGTTGCCAACCTTCCCAACTTACCTGCATATGTGGTTTCATGAACTTCCAAGAAAATGCATGGCTGACTCTGCAAAAAAGCATTAAATGATAGAGTAACTTTGCAATTCAATTTAAACCGAGTTTAATTAAAAATTGCTTTACAACCCAAATCTTAAGAAAACTATACACAACTATTTAAAAAGATACACAAAACACTTACCCTTGATCAAGGTAGTTGAGGCAATGCAGCAGGACCCTTGGTGAAACATACTGCTTCTGTCTATATTGGTCTAATACTTTTAACACCACCTGGATAATACCAGCTGGAAGAAAAATAAAAAAATATTTACTTAAGGTTAGACAAAAACCAAATGTGGCTTAAAGCATGCGTTGGTAAAAAGTTATTATTGGTTATATTGGCAACTAAATTTGCAGAGAGAAAAATTCCTAATCTTCCCACTTAGAAATCACCATATAAATCAACCTCCGCTCCTTGCAAACATGAACACATGAAAAACTTGGAAGACAGACTAGGGAATACTTGCATCCAGAGAGGCTGCCAGAGATAAAGAGGAAATGACTCAGAAAACCGCTAATGCTGTTACATCATTTCACAACAGAAAAAGGAATAAGAAGTGCATGACATAAGGTTATGTCAGTAAACCCTACCTGAGAAACTCTTTAAATACCACTCTGCAAACTTGTTATATTCAGCCTGCACATTTCCTGGGCTTCCATACCTACATAAATACAACATAAGTATTAAACATCAATGATGACCATAAGCAAAGATGAGCACTGCATACATTTAATTAACCTTCTTATATGTAAACTTGTACTGTGTGACCTTCTTATATGTAAACTTGTACTGTGTGACCACTATCATCTCTAACTCAAGATCATCCATTCATCAGGGGTGAAGTATAACACTTACCTTTCAAACAACCTGGTGATGATATGACAGGCCCACTTCTTGCATTTCCACCAAGCTAGTTCTGGCCTTTCTTCCTCGTCAATCTGCAGGGTTGCCTAATAACATATGATGTGTGAATCACAAATCCAAACTCCTCCTCTCATACAAACTGACATAGATATTATCTCACATACCACATTTTCATCAATGCAAATAATATGTACAGCACCATTGCCAGCTCAAGTGAGTATTCTCCTCTGGTAAGCAGACCCCTATTTTTCTAACTTTCTTTTGTTAAAACTCTTTTCAAGTGTGATCAGATTCCAATAATCGTCTTTATACAAGGAGCGAGAGCCTCCCTGCTCACTATCATCCCTGGCAGTGATCCTCAATCCTTCTTAATCTGCACCCAAGAAAACCCTGACTACAGACCAGTTCAGACTTGAGAATACCCACACCAAGAGGTGCTGCCAGAGATGAAGTGGGCATGACTCAGAGAATGGATTAAGCAGTTACATCATTTCACACAAGAACTCTACCACTATAATACAGATATATACAATACATTTCATCTGATAGTAATTAAATCCCATCCCCAGACATCCAGAAATGTTTGCAATTAACTGCAATTTCTTACCTCTGGGACAGACCTTTCGACAATCTGTCTAAACAGCTCCATCCACTGTGTGAAGGCTTCTTTTGTGATAAGATCTAGAGGAAGGCAGTACTGAAAATAAGAAATGAGAATTTATATAAGGCATAAAGAATGTACTGCTGTTTTCCTAAAAAAAGATACAGTAATTTCAGGCACTTTATAAAACCACGTTTCCTAAACCTATAGGTCAGTATTTCTGTGGAATAATGTTTTCAGTTAACTCATTACAACCCTGAAATACCAATTTATCAAAGAAAGGAAGGAAATGCCACTTTGGTATACAGCACAAACCCAAACCTTCACAAAAAAAATCCCATACCTGTATAAGTGCATGAAAACATTTCAGAATTTGCTTTTGTATGAGCACAGAGAGCTCAGACTGATCAGGTAGGAGTTGCAGACATCTTTGGTAGATCAATGGTAACAACACATGCATTGCCTGGGTCAACGGGACACGCTCATCAGACTTCTTGTACCTGAAATGTTCAACAGAAATCAAAATCAAAAATAGAATCCCATTTTCTATCTCTGTTATTCTAGAATTGGAGGTCAGTTTCACTTGTCAACAATATTTTTTTCTGAAATATATTAAATCATCTTTGAATGACATTCAACTTACTCATATGTTTTAATAAGTTGATATAAACACAACAGAGCTCCCATCCAAGTTTGGTGGTTGTCCGATTGGATATACATGGCCACTTTATCTGCAACATTTGGCCAGCGCCCAGGAAAGTCATGCTTTATGATATTGCTCACACATATGGCAAGCTGAACCCTGAAGTAAAATAAAATATGTCATTAACATCCAAGAAAATTAAAGTACAGTCAGAAATCTCTTCTCAGTTAAAAAACAGTCCATCATCAAAGGTGAGTATCATCAAATGCCCATTTAAAAGTGTTTATATCAAATTAAGCATGAAATATAAAATGACAGTTTCTGTGCATTTCCAAAAATTACAAACAGCAAAATAAGAATAAATTTCTTCAAAAGGTCACAGTTTACTTGTATCCAAGTTATGAACCAAAAATATTGAATTCAATATTTCATAAAATTATACCTAATTGGGTCTGAAGCATGAATGACAGCTTCCACAATGTTGTCCCTAATTGGTTGTTTATCATTATCATGGATGTTAAAAGGCACTGGATCTCCTGGAAATTCTGCTTCTCTCTCATGCCAGAACTGCATGATCATGTTCTTTAAGTAGATAGCACCTGGAAAGTAAGGAGTAACCATCTCTTCAAGCCCATTTTAAATTTAACATATCTAAAATGATAACAAATCAGTAAAAAATCTGATAAACACAATGACTTTCAGAGAAATAATACTCATTCAAAAATAAACATTAAATCTACAAATCATTCTTAAGGCTTTTGAATACATAAAATAAACTTTTTCAGAATAAGTTTACCTGCTTGTTTAACAGGCATATCTAACTGGTCACTCATGACCACTTGAAGCAAGATCGGTGCAAAGCCAATGATCTTGTGGACCTATGAAAGAAAAAATAATTATAATTTCTATGGCAGAGATACTGCTTTTACACAATATAAGTTGCTTTCAAAATCAATATTTTAATGGGTAAATGCTAAAACTCAATAAAACAATATTAAGACATCTTAACCAATCCTTTGGGACATAAAATTCAACTTCTGACTTGTCTTTCTAGGAATAAGGTATGTGTTGTTCCATAACTAGAAATATCAATAGAAATGTGCACTTTCTTCCATATTCCCTTTCATTATGCAACATGTCAGCACTCCCTATTAATTATGTCAATACAATTTACTACAGTTGTGTGATATACATGTGTAGATACAGTCAGTAATTTATATGAAGGAGAATTATCCCAGGTGTAACACTAACAGAATCCACTATAACACTGGCAGAGAAGAGTGACTCATCCACACCTGTCCTTAACTTACCTATAATTAGCAACATAGCCAGAACTACTGGTATATATTGAATGTGAAAAGTTCATTCAAACTGTTAGTTTGGCTTTACGGCACACAATCTTAGGCACAGACAAGATGTAAAATGTATATCAATACAAAAATTTACGCGTATCGTCTGAAGAGTCCCACATGGGTTTTAAAAAGAGAGCTATTATACCTGTTCCTATCATAGCAACGTTAGGGTAGTTATATCCAACTGAACTTGTGTTACTTGAGATTTGTGTGAATCACCAACAGAATGTCATGGTTTGCTGGCAACAATGCACGTGGTTTGTTCAGAGAAATTGGATATCAAAAATTATGTCAGCCATCTTGAAAACGTGTCTAGCATCCACTCACCTCATTGAGCTGTTGTTCGGCTTGTTCACGTTGAGTAGGGTCTAGTGTAGCCCTCAAAACATCGACTAATTTGTTGACATCCATTTTAGTACTATAAAAGGCAAATGCCACTCAGACATCCACGCGAAAAAACGTCTTCCTTCTTCACGTGGATCTCCTCAGCCGGTCGCGCCAATATTGTAGTTTTTGCGCAACTACCGATACGCTATGCGGTATGTCGTAAAATTAATATAGTTACATTATGAATAATTTGAAACACAAAGAACATGCCACTGATATTACCTGTAATAAAAAATATCACACTTGTGTCACTAACTTATACAAATAAGATAATTAGGAAAAGTCACTCTTGCCATTACGACTTTAACGCTTTTTGATATTGACTCTCTGTAGCAGTCGGTGCAAGCTCCACAAAAGTATATTATAGTTTTATTACCTAAGTCCAAGTGTTAGATTGGAAAAGTGTAAAATTTGAGCGTGTAGAAATAGATAAGATGGGGCATGTTTGTTGTTTTATTATGTTTTAACCCAGTGGGAGACAGGCATTAATGATTTATCGTATTATATTACAGTGACGTCGAGTCCCAAGTTCAAAATCATGTTGTCAAGTTTGTTCTCTACTTCTATGTTTTCACCAAGATAAGTGTGAAACTGCAAATACCGTTTTCCCCGTGGAGTGGGCGTGTTCTTAAGATATTTGATCATGTTTGTTCCAGAATTCTGATGCCATGGCAGATAAACCGGATAAGTTGGGAAGGTTACAGAAAGACGTAAATGAAGTTACACACCTCCTGCAAGACAACATTAACAAAGTTTTAGTTCGAGGGGAAAAGTTAGATGCTTTAGAGGAAAGAACAGGTACTGGTTTATTATTGATCATTAATGTGGTGAGAATACATTCATTTATTCAGTAGATTTTATTGTTTGACAATTTTGAATTGCTGATTAGTGTGAATTAACACTATTTTGAGTAGTGTTTCTTTTCTCTTCTTTATCCTTAATGTCTTATTTAAAATACAAAATTGCTGCATTGTTCTCTGACATGAACTTTTTTCTTTTTTGTATTATAAACAAATGTTTCTAACATTTCACCGACATGCATCAGTTACTAGTAGTTATTTTATTTTTGCTTGTGCAGAGCATTTGCATGATGAAACAGCTAACTTTAAGACTACTGCAGCCAAAACAAAAAGAAAATATTGTTTGAAGAATGCCAGAATGTGCATGGCTCTTATTATAACTGCTGTGGTTGTGGTACTTATTATTGTCATTGTGGTTGTTGTTTTAGTTGGTGAGTCTCTTTGATGTAAAATGTTATATTTCATACAAAAATGATCAAATAAAGCACTGATTTCAAAATGTTATGCATGCTGGAAAATTGCATGGTTTTTCTAATAAGAAAGTTATAAGTAAGGTAGATTATTTTCAAAACTGTTAGAGATCAAGTCATAATCGATTTTAAATAATTTCTCATAACATAATATCTTAACAGACAAGATTTTTAAAGTTCATTTTGAGTTGTGCTGTTTGTATAACTGCTCACATATTTAGTTGACATTATTTGTTTGAGTTTCATAAAGTTGAGTTATTTTAAAGGACTGATTAAGAGTCATTCATTTTTTTTCAGCTACATCTCACACGGAAAACGCAGGATCTACAACAAAAGCAACAACAGTTTCAACCCCAGCTTACATACACTAAAGCATTACTAGCAGGGCCACACAGAAGTATTTCTTCCATCTTGGATCCCCATCAGATAGCTAGAAAATGGAGTCATTTCTGCATACAATGAAAATAAACAGAAGATTACCTGTAATAAAAAGATTAGGGGTTTTTATGGTCTAAAATGATTCAAATCAGTAGTATATAGTACCCTGTGCTCTTGAAGGTTATTCTTCATTCTCAGCTTTCTTTTTCAGTTAAAAAAATTGTAAACCCTGCTAAAAAAAATCCCCCAAAATATAGAAATGTAATAGTTAACTTGTTTAAAACCAGCAGAGGAAAATATTGGGTCTTGATACATTCTGTCTGTAAGATGTTTGGAATTTTAAAACTCACTAGATGGATGACCAATAAGTTACATATAATTTTTGATGAGGGCAGGGAATAAAATTTTGTTCCTAAATCTCACAATGGATACTCTTAAACATTCTTAAATTGAAATTAGTTCTGGATATTTATTTCCTGCCATTAGTCCTAGAAGTCAAAAAAGTCCACCTGGAAAATGAAAACATTAATCTTAGATTGCCAATATTGAAAAATATAATTATATAAAAAAAAATTATAGACTTATCATCATTTCAACTTGAATCAGAGTCTGTGATAATGTGACCATGTCGCAAGAACATTCCACTAATAATTCTGTTTTACAAACCTTTCTTTGAAGCACCATATTAATTTTACAACTGTAAGATTGACTTTTTGCAAAATCATATTGCTCTGTATTTAGATATTTACATTTTTGCCAGGGTTAATCTATGAGAGACTGTTTCTGTCTCAATTTGTTTGTCAAACATTTGTTGAGCAAAATTAATGTTTCTTGACTATATTAGTATTTGTCTTAATGTTTGTCAGCCAATCGCATTTTACCCAAAAATTATGCATTTATTGTAAATTTATACCTTGACCTTGACCATCATGTAACTCTATCTATATGAAAATTTTTTCACTCAAAGTTATTGTGTAGATGAAGTGATAATTTATGAATTTTCATTAATTTATAGATGGTTATCTATAGCATGGGCAGATCCAGTAGAAGGTGGTTGATAAAGTGACCCCCTCCCTTCCCTCTTTTTATCCTGGAAATATATTGACTAAATTTTACTGTACCCTTTTGTGTTTGATTTTATACATTGTAATATTATTATTTATTATATATATTATATTAAAAATTATGCAAAAGATTAAGTGCAAGAAAAATGTTTTTATGTCTGTTTGTAAGTGGATGTGGATATATTGCTTCTACATGAACAATTATACTAGTATTTTTATGTCATTTTCATAAAATGAAATAAACTATTCAGTATATATACTTTTCTTTTTTCCTACATATATTTTTTTTCATTGAAAAATAAAAGGAATGGTCTATCAATGTTGACTCATTTTCAGACAAGTGCACATGTGATGGTGATATTTTTTTCTAGCCATATTTATATTGTGAATGGGTAGTAAGAGAGTCCTTTCAATGGAACATGAGTGACAGTCAATTCTTTTCCTATGGTAATATATCTAATTTCCATAACCATTATCCTCCTTGTTGATACCTCCATGCCAAGACCTAATGAAAAAAACTTGAAAATTGGTTGAAAAATCAATTATGTCAGTAAAAAGTTTCCTTTAAAAATATGTATTTGCAGTCAAATTTTTGCCACAAAACCCAATTAATTTGCCACCCTATAGTTTCAAGCAGTGTAAATAATGCTTAAGTTAAGAGAGATACCAAATGGACAACAATGCGTATTTCATTTTGTGCTATGTATGTTTTTCTGTAACGTTGTTCTTTCTTTTTTTAATATATCTCAAATGAGCTTCTCAAATGAACAACTCGTAAGTTTTGCCGCCAGGGGTTTATATTTTGGGCTTATCTTGAAAAGATGGCAGGCAGCAACCAGGTGCTCCGGCAAGTTCTAAACCTTTTAACTAAAGGATCAGGATTTGATCAAGTAATGAGCAAGGTGATTAGATTAATAATTTGAGATGTAAATTTGCATATTAGTTATATGAACTGTTATAATTAAGGAAATGTTTTTGCTAGCGCATGTCTCATGCACCAGCTACCTACCCCCCTCCTCCTTCGCATTTGAAATTGAAACGCTTTCGGTTATTCTGGGAGTGCAAACAGCGTTTTTAAAACTTAAAGTGACATGTTTCTGCGCTGAGGAAATATTGTATGGTTTTTCATATTTTTGATAATGGACAGGTCGGACGTTAGTTCGTAATGATAATGAGATGCATCTGCTTGCATCTTCGCCTTTGGCACTTGGTAATGTACTAGTGTATGGGTCATTCCATATCAACTCATCCAGCGAGGGTACCCTCCGTCAAGAAAGTTGCTGATTTTCACATATTTTGTAGATATTATAGGGACTAGAAAAAACCTAAAATTTTAGATTGAGATCTCAACTGGTTTCAGAGTTATGACATTCCAAAGTTGGAACCAGCTGAGGGCTTGTTGTGCCTCACATGAATCTAGGTCATGGTGACCTAGTTAAGAAAAACACTATGACAATAGTTCTTCATATCCCATTGCTTTGTAGCTTTCATGACTTTATGTTTTAACATTCCAGGAATCCAACTATCACACTGAAAATGGTCTGGCATATTTAAAATGCACTTAATTTTTACTTTGAAAAATCCTTGTCATTTTTTCAAAATGATAGACACCCCACCCTTTTAATCTAATTTTTCTCAATGTCTCCAAATGGACAGGTGTTTTTGCTTTATCTCATATTAAAGAGGAGGCTTTGAACTTAAAAGTGAAAGTGTTAAATCAATTTGTATATTTTGGAGGCAAAAGTAGTAAAACATTCTAAGAAAATATGTGATATGGGCTAATGCATGGTCATTGATCCAGAACAATGTACTATCAAACACCCAAATTTAGAAATATCTACATTAGTTTACATGTTATCTTTCAGAATAAATTTCCTATGATGTTGTTATACTATAAAATATTTTTTTGATGTGAATGAAATTGTTTTATGCAGATATTCTTTTAATTATTGACATCCCAGCAATAGACCAGTTTTCATGTCTCCATCCAGATACCTACTTGTTGTGTCTTGTCATTTCAATAATATTTACAACCTAAAGAAATATATATGCCCCAAAACTTTTTTTATTTTTTTTTTTGGAGTCTTTCAACGGATCTTTTAGATTAATTGTTGCAGCAGCGAAGTCTTATAAAAATGGGCATTTATGTGTCAGAAACATACAAAAATACTAGTATTTGTCTTTGGTTACTTATTGCACAATCCGGTTGTAAAATCACGTCCAGTCTCCATGTCAGTCTGCAAAATAAGCACAGGTGCCACACAAAATGCCAGTTAAATTGTAGCTTGGCCTGTAAAATACTGTAAATATGTTTTGTTACTGGATACTATTTTGAGGTTGGGATCACAGATAATAAAGGCCCTGGAAGGGTTGGAGTAACAGGAATGGGAAGCTTAGTCTGCTTCCCATTACTTTGCACAGGTGACATTCATCCCATATTCTAATCGCAGTACCGCAGAGGGCGTCTCGATGGTCCAGTAACATTTTCATCGATTTTTTAAATCAAGGGTTCATTGGTCCGAAGGTTCTATAGTGAACATTCGGACCAATGAACCTTCAGACTATTGAACCTTCGGACTATCGCTACGGCCCCGTACCGCAACTAAGCCTAACCTGTACAAATCATACCAAACCCCGGGCTTCCATTCCTAGAACTTCCGTTCCTGTCACACCATTAGTTTTGACACACAGACAGCTACTACATGTATAGTATGTTACTCAACATTTCTGACAACTTCATCAATTACAGATGCGGCTTATATCTGGTGGTGATGGCAAGTGCCAGTGTGAATTAACAGTGGAGGAAGAGCACACCAATAGAGGTGGTACACTTCATGGTGGAATGACTGCCACGTTAGTGGACAGTGTATCCACGGTTGCCTTAATGACCACAGGTCCAGGATTACCCGGAGTGAGTGTGGACATGAATGTCACGTAAGTCTAATATAAATATGGGTCAATACCTGGTTGATGTACTCCTGGATTTTCTTAGGAATGAACTGAACATAGTGGCAACCCTTGTGTTTGTGAATTTCCATTATTAAGTAATGTGCTGTTAATGCAAATGTGTACAATATTAACTCCAATATACAATATTGCCCTCCATATTTTCTCATTCTCTTATAGAAATTGTGATCAACTTATTTATGTAGAATGTTCACTTTTGATAAAATATGTTCTCACAGCTAATATTTCTTTTCAGATTCATGAAGTCAGCAAAGATAGGGGATGATGTGATAATAGATGCTTCCACACTTAAAGTTGGAAAAACATTGGCTTTTCTTAATGTTGACTTAAAACTTAAAAAGGATGGAAGCTTGATTGCACAAGGAAGACATACAAAATATCTGGGGAATTCATGAAGATGAGAAGAGGAGTTTAGCGTAACTGAGGCCAGTAATATCGATGAAGTTGCAAGATATAACGTTGCACATATTTTTTCTATGAAGCTTTTATATAGATGACAAACTATTTCACTTGTAATCAAAAAGTTTATTGCGGTTAAACATGATTGTCCAAAAGGTTCTTTACTTTTGTCGTGCCTGTAGATTACAGCAACATTTCCACAATGTTGTACACAGAACAGCTACAGTATTTTTCATAATGGTAGTCATTGCTACATTGATGATAACTGGATTTCATTTGCAAGTAACATGTATGTAATAGTAGAGACCTTGACATATTTATTGAACTTAATTATTCATGTGCACCAAAATTCTTTAACACAATTTTCAGAACTGTTTCAAAAATAAGTATGTACTATGATTAATTGAAAGTCTCATATTTTTTGTATTTATGTGGATGCAGAGATTGGTCGTTTAGTACACAAATTCACATATATCTTCCAATGCACAACCAATTGCAAGCAATATTTATTTTTGTTCTAGCTTTTTAATATCACATCCTTACAGTAATAAAACACTTGATGATATAAAAACTTGCTTTTCTTTCCTTTGCTGTAACATATACAGTTGTGTGTAGAATTTTATTATTAAGAAGCACAATTACATTTGTAGTAAAAATGGATATTAAAGCCTTTTATATAAAAGTAATTCTTAAGATATCATAAAAACTAATCATTATTTTGATAATTTGGTGTCATAACATTGCATCATTTAACGGATTTAATGCAAGGTGTCAAGAAAATATTACAAAAGATTTTCTAAAAATCACCACCTTCAAAAATTAACAAATAAAATATTTTTGTATGCAGTGAGTAAAAGAAAAAAAAAATGAAATGGCACAATCTTTTCCCCTTTGTCAATATAAGGTTATCATTGCGAAGTGATGTATACAAATCCATTTTCACATCAAAATCTGCAGAGAACATGCATGTGAAAAATTCCAAAGGGAAATGTGACTAAACATAACAAAAAGTTTAATGCGTGTTTGGGCTGTATCACTTGTTATAACCTGAAAATAGAAACTGAGCAAAGCCATGTCACTTGATAGCGTAAAATTGTGGGTTTTTTTACAGCTACGTTTTGGTGGGATTTCTTTTATATCAGTTAGTGTATAGTGACTTCTTCAACAAAATGTGAATGTAAAACAAAGTGAACATAAAACAAAGATGTGAACAGTTTAACAAATGCATTAAAGAGGTCAATAGAAATGGGTGAAATCGTCACATTTAGGGTGTAGAAATGACATTTCTGTACTGTAAAGGTTGTTTGAAGCATAAGGTTACCCATGTATTTCATTAGGGTAAAGTTTGAATCCAGAATCCATAAAGTTAAGAAATTATAATTGCATTCATTAATTAAATACAATTTAAGTAATCATCACTTGTTCAAACAAGCAATCCATTATGTCAAAAACAGTCACCACGTGACAAGTAGCTTATGCATACCTGAAAATACACAAATAAAATGATAAACATAACTGTATCTAATAACATGCATTGATTACTCACACGAATCCATTGGATTAGAACAGTGACAAGTGAATAAAGTAGTCATGCACAAGTATTATGTACTTGGTACAAACTACACACCAAGATATATAATACTTAACATAAAGCCTTGAACCTTTATCTATAACTTGAGTACTAAAAGGAAATGTAAAATATATAATGGCTTTAAACCCATAATTACTAGGGGACTGCTGAGATGTTGAGGTATATGTATACTTCCCAGATTAAAAGCTGCAGCAATACTGACTGGCCATGGCAGTAACCCACAACACTGGGCAGTTCAGTGACCACTTAACGATAGTAGAGAGCATTGCATGAGTTGAGCATTGACCAGTACAATAATATTGTCATTCAAAAAGAACTTCTATATCATTTCATACAAAAAGTATTTAGTCACCAGAGAGAATTCTCATTCATTATTTTTCATATATATATATATAAACATTATTTATTAAGTTATGGCAGTGTTCATTTTCAAAAAAAGGTCATCCTTGGTTATTCACATACTGGACAACAGTGTCCTTGTACAATCTTTGGCGTAGCACACCCTGGCTGTGGACATATAATTCTGTGGCACTCCTTTTGTCCGTGCTTACACTCGCAGTATTTACAGTCTCCTTCATTCCATTTTTCCCTTGATTTCCTTTTATTCCCTTGTCCATCCACACAGTGTGGATTCTTTAATGTCCTTTCCAATCTACGAATCTGATGGAGAAAAACATTTCATAGTTGTTATGATTCATTTTATGTCCACACTTAAAAGCATTATTCTAATGTAGAATAGAATATAAATCCAGATACTACTTCTTATTTGTTTTATTCCAGGAACATGGATGTTAGCAATAAAATGAAACACCCATTTTTACTTAGGATTTTCTACTGCATGAACGATAGAATTGTGCATAAACTTATATTTTTTTTCTAATTAAGATGCAAAAAGTCTTACCTTTTTCTTCATTTTCTCCATCATATGTTGCAGTTCATCTATTGCCTCTTCCATTCCTTCAATTCTAGAGTCAAAAATGTCCATAGCATTCTGGCTGATGTCTACATTGTACTTTATCTTTTCAGATTCTACTGGCTGCTCTTCTTTAGAAAACTGCATGCTTTCTATAACCTCATTATTCGATTGTTTATGGAATTTCTCTTCAGCATAAGAAAATTCTGCAGATCTTCTCTTTCTGTAATGACTGAGGAGAGAGTTGAATTCTCCAGATTTGCTACAATCTGAAATGAAACAAATGGCAATTTCACAATCAGTTAAATAAGGCTAAACGAACTGTCAATCCTTTTGGAAAAATCTTTTAATTGGACAACACTTCAAGCACAAATGATAACAAAAGTAGTTTGAATGCAATAACATTTTTCACAATATTGACTTTAAGAATGATCAGAACTGATGTCTTCTTTGAAAATGCCTTGCTTTTTTTGCCACTATAACATAAAATGAATACAAGCAATTTTGACTGTGTTTCTCTTATATTCACATGATTCATGATAATAAACATAGTCTGTAAGTGTCTGAACCCCCTTTTTCCTTACCAGTGCAGCAATCTGTCCATAACTTGAGGTCCATGCCATTGATTTTGCTGCACTTTTTAAAACCTGACGGAAACACCTCCTGTATAAACACATCTTCTGGGACACTGTCAATATTGTCACCATTGTCACATAATGTCCGTGCTAGGGACGTCTGCTTGATCTGGACAAGCTGAGCTGGCTTGAATACACCAGGATTTTCATACCAAAACCTAAGTAAAGAACAGATTACACCATTCAAAACTTTCACATGAGGCAGAGCTATATGTACTAACATCCAAGTGTTACCCATTCAATTACACTATCAAGTATTATGTTTCATTAACTGCACCTAAAGAAAATAACCTCCTGTTTTGTATAATCTAAAAAACCAGCAGTAACAATCATTTTTAATGGAAATGTCATGCTTTCTATTTCAAACTGTCAAGAATTCCATGAGACTTCTTTTCAGAAATCATAGTCCACAATTACATAATGATGGGTGAAAAGCCAACAATAACAGCATCAGATCTACCACACCCACCTGTCCCCTGCCCTCAGCCTTCTGAACTGCTCCACAAGAATGCACAGGAAGGTAGGCCCCATCTTTGCACCATCCACGGGGTCCTCTGACACACCTCCAACCCAGACATCTATGTTACCTAGAAAAGTAGAACATCAAAGACAATTGCATGAAGAATAAAATATCATAGTCATGATCATTTTGTAACAGTATATATCTGTTTTGAAATGGCCATTCAGTTAGTGATGTGTGCCCTTGGTAGTTTGTGAATGGACTAGAGCATTTTCAAGTTTTGTTTTAACAACATAAATACTGAACACAATTATACCTTGATCATGCAAATGAAAAGTGGTGGGCTACAAAAAAACTAACACTAAAACAGATAAGAGTATTTGTACAAAAACTTACCTGGGTGGCCATATACCTCTTGAAGTTTTCTCCTAAGCTCTGGGCTTCTTATTTCATTTCTAAGGTCTGAGAATGCTGAAGCCTCTGTTAAGTTACACATCTTTCTGTATTCATTATAGCTTGGAAGACCATGATCTCTACCCCGCTGAATGTTAATGGCAGCCAAGTCCAGGGCTACCTCATGGGCTAGTTTGAATAGTTTTTCTGTTAATTCTAGGTTGAGAATGCCATCGGAAGTCAATTTTTTAGCTGGGGTTCCGATTAAGCCCCTCAATATAGGGTCAACACCCCCTTCTTCAACCAGTCTGAATGGAGCAAAAAATGCCTTGTGAAGAGGCAAATGTCCCTGTGGAATTTCTGTATAGTTGGCATCAAAGCGGTATATGATAGGGTTCACCATAGTGTGGCCCACTCTCAGGGCTGATGTAGTGAAATCATTTGTTACAGAAGCATCTACATTTGGGTCATAACCCGTATAGGGCCCCAGCATTTCCATTCCTCTTCGACCTAGGAATTTTGGTAACCAGTGCTTGTAAGTAATGTGCTGTAATTCTGCACCTACTATTTTTCTGGCTTCATGGTACAACATGTCCCCATCCCAATGTGGGTTTAGTCTTAACAACTCTGCAGCAATGCGGTTGTGCTCTCTCATCCACAGTGTGTGCATACTAAGCAAAGCCAGTTGTTCATTGGCTCTATGATCACCAGCCAGATAGCAAGGGACATTTCCACGTTCTGGGTCAATTTGACAGTCCACTGGAGTATGCAATGCCGGAGGTAACAGTTCCTTTCCTCCTGGCATCCTCTCTCCTATCCTCAACAATCCCCTTTGCGAACTAAACTCCCTCAAATCACCAGCCTCCTCCTCAGAGCTACCATAAATTTGGGAACCATCTATGAACGACGTGATCTGGTTGATCTGTTCTCTGGGCACAACTTTGTTGAAGAGAATAGATGTCGTTCCCGTACCACACATAGAGCTGGAGCGAGTGACGCCCATACACTCATGCCTATGTATCCTAGCATCATTAGCTGGCACTGGGATTGGAAAGCATGGAGCCTTATTCTCACATGTCTCATTACAATGCCTACCATCACTAAACCTAGCAAAGCTCAGCGCCATAGGTGCCAGGTCTATGTCATGGTCCATAAACTGCCCCCACTGCATCAGCATGGTTGTGTGTTTCTCATCCTGAACAACAGGCCTCTTGGCTGCTATCACTTTGGTGGAGATTAGCCTGGCACTGGGTTTTGGGTAACCATGATATAATTTGCCAACCTCCCAACCTGACAAATTTAAAATGGCTGATCTTAGATCTAAAAATAAACTAACTGTACCCAGTTTAAATTAAAACAAATTAAAGTGGTTTATATAAGTTGTAAACATACTCTAAAAAATGAAACATAAATAAAATCGCATGGCAAAAATACTGTCTTCACACAATGTTTGTGGTTTTTGTTCCTCACCTACTGGTGTATTAAAGTTATTCTCATAAGCAGGTGGCAGCAGTCTCTTGAACCCTGTGAGAGAAGCTCCCCACATGGGGTGCTGCAGGTTATTACAGGTGCCATCCATGGAGCGGTACTTGTGATGGAAGCACATATCTGTGCAGTTTATAATACGGCGGTGAGCCAGACAGCCTGATAAGTTGGCTATGATGGTAAGCTGTGCAGGTGAGACCAAGCGATCGTATGGAATTTCTGAAACAAAATAAGATAAACAGAATTAATAAGGATGGTTTCTTAACTACTTAACGAGTAAGGTAACCGATTTCAATGCATCGTAGTTTATTATCAATCTTTAACATTGTATAAGTTGCAAGAAATAATGCTTCTATCATTCAGAGAAGATCACCTTTTAAAGATTAAATTCTTTCTCAAACTTACTGCAAAAACTTAAAATGTGAACAGACTTTTTAGTTACCATGATTGGACTCATCAAAGTGATGTCCCCTATCAATGTGCTCATGGATAATTTCCAAAGTTCTCTCAAAGACTTCAGCAGCACGGGATATCTGCAGTGCTTCTCTTGTGGGTAGGCGGAAAATTGTCAGCAGATCATTGGGAGTTCGGCGTCTGTTCTTGTCGAACAATTCGGACAGGGTCTGGTTGATAGCATTGTCCACACCCCTGATGGCTTGCTGGACTGAGTTCTGCACGAATCTGTCTCCAACATAAGCCCTTGGAGCTGCTGTAAATGGAAGACTTGTTAATAAGACTAACACAATCACCATCTTATAAAACTGTGTTAACACGTCCAGTCTGTAGTAGGACTCATGGTAATGTGTTGTTCATTACTTGGTTGCAGACAAAACTGTAATGTGACTACCGATTTGACAAAGGAAACATTTCAGCCAATGTGTTTTTTTTTAAGACAAAGGTCAGGTGCACTCACCTTAACAGCATTTTTCTTAATACAGGGGCAAAAAGAACAGTCAACATTTTATATTCATTATATATTTTAAGGCTTTGTAAAAGTGAAATAAGGTTTCATTATTTTTCCTTTGAAGACTGCACTTTCAACACATGATAAGTAAATTTATTTATCATTTTAGTATGTAATGCATTGCAATTTTTTTTTATTCTGAAAACATAAAACCATACTATGACATCAGGAATTCCTGAATAAAGTAAAATACTGCAAAAAATAGAACCAGGGGCAACCATGAAGCAATGGGGGCTACATAAATAACCAATAATGACTTAAATGTGTGGTTTCTAAAAAACAGGAAGCTAGAGCATTTTCAATGCAGTCACGTTCAGCATGAAAAACTCTCAGTGCAGTCACGTTCTGTGTGAAAAAACTGCAGGAAGCTTTACTTTTTTAAACACAACTTGTTTGATGGTTAGAAAGTTCCTGTTCCCTGCTGGATATGGTAAATAATTTAAGAAGAAAAAAACATTCACAATAAATCACACCACTTAAAACCAAGGTCTTTCAACCCACAAAAAAGTTGTCCTAAAAGTGTGTGCCTAAGCACTCCTTTGATCTGAAGTCAAGCAAACTTACATATGCATATCACCAACACTGCATGTACTTAAACTTACGTGTTATGGTAACCCTAGCAACAGCCGAGATGGATCCTACTGAATTCTCAGCTGTACATTCATATATTCCACTGTCTGCTTCGGTGGCATTGTGAATGGTCAGAATCCCATTGCTTCTGTAAAGGAACCGGTCATCTGGGTCAATCCTTTGTCCATGCCTGGCCCAGATTACTCTAGGAATTGGGTCTCCGTCTGCCTGGCAGCGGAGCTCAGCATTGGTGAAGGCTTCTTGGGTGACATCTGTTGGTGTTTGAGTGAAGGTTGGGGGGACTACAAAATATAAATATGAATAACGTGCCCATTAATTTCTTTAATTTGAATTATGTAGCCCTTTTTAAATTTCAAATATTTATTTCATTAGCCAAAAAAATCAAACAACATTCAGTTAACAATATTACAAAGTGCTAAAAATAATGGTACTTACCTCTTTCTCTGATCAATAATACAGCAGCAGCATTTTTTCTCCCCAGTTCACTCTCAGCATGGCACTCATAGCTCCCCCTATCTTCCTGTCCAACTCGGGAGATCCTCAGTTCGCGCCCCCTATTCAAGACTTGATGCTTACCAGTATCTGGTAATGGACGTCCTGTAAGTTTTGTGGAAAAAATGTAATTAAAAAAATGTATACCAAAGGACATTATAAAAATTTAGTTTTGTATTCCAATTAATCAGTGTTAACATGCAAGTGAGTTATTCAAACAAATAAAAGTAGTAATGTATTTAAAATTATTACCAAAAGATTGAAATAATCATGTTGCTGAATGTTTTAATTGTAATAAGTATCACTCCCATGTTATTATAAACATTATGTTATTATAAACATTATGTTATTATAAACATTATTTTATTGGAATATTCCAGCTGCTCTTTTTTCCATACCATCCTTTGTCCACCTGATAGTAGGTTCAGGATAACCATCTGCTTCACAAGTAAACCGCACAACTTCTCCCTCAACAACAACTTGATCAGACGGTAAACTGGTTATGGAAGGAATCACTGAAAAAAAAATGGCATAATTACTCTCATTGTAAATAACATACTTTACCAAAACACTGCATCACAAATTTACTTGCATAAATGAGCTAAAATAAACTTTTATTTCAATGATTTCATTTATCTTTTTTAAGAGAAAAGAGAAGGATCGCGAACAGCATTTTGTAAAAAAAAAAAAAAAAAAAAGGGGGGGGGGCTGGTATCTAAGCTGAGAGCTGGAAGAGATGTGTCTACACAGACTGTTTTGAAATCCTTGAATTTTAATTTGCACTTTTTCAGTATAATTTAGCCTTTTGGTCCTTTGAACTGAAATATGACTGCAACTGCAAACATAGCATTTATAACAAACACCTTTAAGCCTTGTCTAATAAAGCATATTTATGTGTTTTTATTTAAAATGTTGCTGTCAATCATGCAAAGTGCTGCCATCTGTTGGGTTGTTCCCACCTCTTACATTGAGCCTTGCAGTAGCAGAGATAGTGGCTTGGGCATTGCGGACTTCACATTTGTAGTCTCCCCGGTCTGATTTCCTTATATCTGTGATCATCAGAGACCCTCCAGGGAGGATAGTATACCTGGCATTTCTTTCTACTAATGCTGTTCCTTTAAACCACCTGGTTTCAGGCCTGGGATATCCTGACGAAGTGCAATCCAGGCGGACGTTTTCATGTTCTACCGCATCGTAATCTTCTGGTCTGCTTATAAATGTAGGAGCAGCTAAAAGATTGCGTTAAATTATACATTAGGTCTAACATAGAAAATGGATAAACTGGATAAATGCATTCTATAAATTTGTATTTCTTGATCTTTAAGTTTAGAATATTATAGTCATTTTGAATTTTTTTACCTCATATCATTCAATTGTTACTTCTGTCACTTCTATCATTTTGTTCCATAGGTATGAATTTACCTGGCTGTCTTCTAAAATAGCGTACTTCAGCTTTGTGACTTTTCACCTCTCCAGCTTCATTCCTAGCCATGCACTCATAGATCCCTTGATCTACATCTTGTGCACTCTTTATCATCAAGGTTCCATCTTCTAGGAGTTTGTATCTGTCATTCTCTGCAGCAGCTGTGGTGGGAATCTCATTGCTGAAAAGATAAAATATTTCTTGATAACAAGGAATGGCAGGATCTGCTTTTTCTTTATTAGTAGAAATAAGGTCCGGTTTTACTTTATCATCTTTTTTTTATTACAAAATTTCATTTTATAGCAAAACTTACTCATTATGAATCCATGTAATTTCGGGGTTAGGGTCCCCGTCTGCTCTACACTGCAGATACACCGTGTTTCCAAATGTTATGTCTACATCAGTGGGCTCTCTTGTAAGGACAGGTTTTTCTGAAAAGGAATGGCAACATCAAATTACCAAACAGACATGCGACAAGTTATCAAAACCGCAGGTTTAAAATAAAGTTTGCCAAAAAATGTAAATAACTAATTGAATTCAAATAACACACTTTGATAAATTGATAAATCAATTCAGCTAGAGTGTAAGCAATTTAATCTACACTTATACAAGAAGATGCCAACTTAATAGAAAATGACTGTTAGACAGAACAACTTAGAAAGTAAAGTTGAGAAGACTAAGGCCTTTTCTTTGAGAAATTTGTAATTAAAAAAAGTCATACTAACTGCAGTGAAAGTCTCCTTTCTCCACACTCATGATAGACTTCCCTTGTAGCTTGGCAGGGTATTCACATGTGGCGGCCGCCTGAGTGCTGCCCCTCTTGTCCTTCAACATTTCTGCCAGCCACATCATCTGGCAGTCACACACCAATGCATTAGAGTCAAGTCGTCTGAAAATATCAGGTAGCATTTCGATATATAACCCTATAAATTGTATGAAAAAATAGCTGTAACTTACTAAAAATCACCATCTTCAAACCTTTCATTAAAAATATTATATTCAAAAGTTTCGTCTACAGAGCTTTTTAGAAAATCTACAGGAAACTACTAATAAAGAGGAACATACAAGATTGCAGATAATAAATATCACAAAGCTTCAGACTGCAAATTAAAGGCACTGTTTACCAACTCAACTGAATCGTCTGGGTCTTTTATGTTTGCAAATGTTCGTAACCTCACAGGTTTTAAAAGGTGGCCATGCATTACGATTAACAGGTAATTACTGTGACAAATGCTCGAATTTCTCCAAGCATTTCCTCTAGCAAGCAGACTTAACACTGTGCTGCCTCAGGTAACCATTGTATTTCCTTGCTTCTTGTCTCAAGGACCATTCCTCAATGCCAAGACACCGTGTTATGAGTCAGCTTAAGGCTCTCTTTCATTATATCTGACACTCTTATGAATCTATCCGAAACCTTTTTTTTTTTTAAACGTTTTTACTGTAATTCTATGCCTATCAGAACTCCTAATTCCCCTGAGATATTATAGGGTAGAGAAGTCTTAAAATTGAATTCCTTGTGAATGACAGTTTGATTTATGAGAAAAAAGCACACTGATACAGTATCAAATTGCTAATTGTGGACCGTACCAAAATGTAGAAGGCATTTGAAATTCCCATTGATCATGAATTTAGATGGACAATATGCTACCAAGGGAATAATGATTGACACAGATACAATCTAACTTTTTTTTTGCAAAAATTCTTAACATCCTAGCATCCTTGAAAAATCCTTATCCAACATATCTAACCCTGCCTCATTCTAACCGACATTAATCATCTTCTAATTACCCCAAAGCCTACACCATTATATACTGTTGTATCAACATTCTTGATAGATAAAATGTCGAAAGACATTCTCCAAGGTTTATCTGTCTGATGATCAGAACATGCCTGATTTATTTCTTTGGGGAGACTTCAAGGTGACCCATATCCTGGGGACATGCCCGTAATAAGGACATTAGTGTCAGAGAAACAGTTAAAAACATTAACAACTGGAAAAGAAGGACATTTATTCACACACAGAAGGCAAATCAGTAAAATTCACATTACATTAGATTTAAAGAACTCATTGATGAAGCCAAAAAAGGGTTGAATTTAAGGGTCTATTCGTTGGAATTTTGCTTGACGAGGTTCACTGCATTTGTGCACATAGTATGTTTAATATGGGTATGAAGGGCAGTTTTTTTTCATCATTATTATTTGGACCTTTCTGATTAAACAAAGTTTTACAAGGTGGGTGGTTAACTTTGTACAACCACGATTGACAAAATCAATCACTACTCTCTCAAATAACTTTCTCTGATTGTAACCCTTTTAACCTGACTNAGTATGTTTAATATGGGTATGAAGGGCAGTTTTTTTTTCATCATTATTATTTGGACCTTTCTGATATTATTAAACAAAGTTTCACAAGGTGGGTGGTTAACTTTGTACAACCACGATTGACAAAATCAATCACTACTCTCTCAAATAACTTTCTCTGATTGTAACCCTTTTAACCTGACTCTACAACAAAGAAAATATATATATGTTTTCTCCAAGTGAGTACCAGGTTTGAAAAGAAAAGAGTTTTTTTGTAGATATCACTTCAATTTTTTCTCTTTCTTCTTTGCTTGTTGAGAAGAATTTATCACCAATTCTAAGTTAAACTGGTATGACAGTGGTAGTGCTGTAAACGGGCCATTTAGAGGCCTAATTAGCCATCAGTTACTTCATCAGGCCATTAACCCAGTTTTCCTACATAAAAATATTTCCATAACACGCATTACAGCAAATGAGAAAATTTTACAAATTTGTATCAAATGCATTAGTGGAGAATGTACACCCTGCTGCCTGCAGACAAATAAATTAGAGAATACATTTACTGAAAGGTCAAATGCTCACTGATTACTACCGATTCATAGAAACAAATCACCAACTTGGTTTTATCTAGTCTTAGCTATCAGGCATGGACTAACTAACAGCAAGACTCTCCCTAGCTGTATACCTTTTTGTTTGTTTTTCTTTCAATCTGAACAAATCAAATAATGTGCATTTTTACACTTCTGTTTCTGAGGATGAACACAGAAATACTACTTACAATCTTCTGAGGTTCTTGAGTGGTGCAAATACTCCTCTGGGAAGTCTTTTCAACGCATTGTTATGTAAGAATCTGAAAAACATGGTAAAAGGTCAAAACACTTTCACATAGGTTTTAAAAGTTAAAAACAACTATAAGCACACATTATATGCTCACTGTTTAATGCAGATGTCAGAGAAACATGGCAAATCCCAGTTGTAATCAAAGTACAAATTTTGACAAAATTTAATTGTTTACAATGTGTGTGGCAAACACGGAACACACTGATAAAAAGGCTTATGTTTGGCATTTTCATATTTTTTTGCTCATTTATCTTGAAATAAAATATTGTTCTTCATGGCTAAATTTGAAATATGCCAAATTACCACACACTGTTTATTTGCAGCACAGACTTTTTTGAGCTGGATTCAACAACTGATGTTTGTGTTAACAATGACCAAGGTACAAGAAACCTAACTGATGTGCACAAAAAAAAGAAAAAAAAAAGAAAAGAAAAAGAAAGAAAAAAAGAAAAGCACCATCAAAACCAATGGACTCTTTGTGAGTCAGTGCTTTTTCAAGATAAGGTACACTGATCTAGAGCCTAAAAACAAAAGCTTTATTGTTAAACATCACTGCAGTGAAACCACATCTCTGTTACTTCATCAGTATGTCAGTGTTTGGTGCCTGTTGGGGTTATTTAAATACCCATCTCAAAGGATTTAGTGTGAAGTTTTAACTAAATACCACTGCTGATGCTTGTCATTGAACTTGAGCCAAAACAGGGGGGTTGATAAACAATAAATTCAGTATAATAAGACAAACAGCCAACTCCGGAAAGAGTTAATGGATAACAGGTCTGGTTAAACAGAAGAGTTAAGTTAAACTAATTGGTGTGAATACACTATCAGACCACAAAGTTAGTCACATCCTAGTTTCCACAATTCCAGAAAAGACAAAACACAAGTTAACATCAACTAAAAGTTAAACCTTTAGAATAAGTCATTGTATTTTAGTTGAAGCGGCCACTGTTTGATACTACAACTACAATGCCTTTTAGTAGAATATAGCAAGGTTAGTGTTACATATTAAATTTCAATCTAACTCTATAAATATACTCCTCCCTGATATCAGCACTCACAATCTCTCCAGTTTGGGTAGGGTAGCAAATGTGCTTGACTTCAAATCATTTATGTTGTTAAAATGTAAATACCTGAAAAACAAGAGAAAAGCAAGGCAATAAGCAAATTAAGCACAGTACAGACAAATACTAAGCCTGTATACCTATGTTCACCACAGTAAATAATGACTCAAACTGGATCCTAAAGAGTTAACAAAATATCAATTGTGATGTCACTAGTCTTATTTTTTTAACCTTGTGTAAATGCCTCTATACTGTGTCAAGGCAATAACTTACGGTGATTTTAACTTATAGGGAAACTTACAATAATTAAGTCTTTCTACAAATAATGAGGAATTAGTAGATTTAGTGGGATGAAAACACATTCCACACCTGTTTCAATAATTTTTGGACTCGTCAACAGAGATTTAATCATATAGAAGCATTTAAACAGTACAGAAGTAAATATATACCCATATATTCACAACAATTTTCAATTCAAACAAATTTATCAAAAACATGTAAATATATCAGAACTTTTGCATCATTTTCTAAAAATAAATAAATAAACAAAATGATGATATATGTGACCAAAACAATCATCAAAAAGTCGTTCGTAGCTAATAAATGTATAAGACTACAAGCACAATGTGCAATGTAACTAAATACTAGTAATTACTGTGTGAGTGCAGAACAAGCTGCTTGCTACCCTGTAATATGAGGAGCTATCAAGATACCAATAGACTATTTTGGATGCATCAGATTACCTATACCTGGTGAGGTACATGCACACAGCAGCACATGCAGAAAGGTGAGGTGCAAGAACAGTAGTGCACTATATTTATACCTCAAATATAATATTTTATATGGGAAACAAATGGAATTATTAATATAATTATCATGATTATTTTGAAAATGAAGACCTCTCCTTTATCCACCGATTGTCATCCAAATGTAAACAAAGCACAATTTATTCCCACCACTTCAACCAGCACTCACAAAAAGGTGTATCTCCCACAGTGTGTTTTCACAATCATACCCTCACATCGCCAACTTTAATTTCCTAAACATATATGAAAAAAAAAATTCAATTTGTTTAAAAGCATGCCCTGGCAGCTCTTGTAGTTCAGGCATAAACATTTTGCCATTATCCTTTTTTCTGTGGCAAAGTGTGTTGAATTTACTTTGAGAACTTGAGGGAGATTTTGGTATTGTAAGGTCCCCCACTTTTAAAGCAACTCCTGAAGAGTCTAACACATCCCTCCAGCTGTTCGCTTCATTTCTGATCCTTGCTCATTATTTTTGGGAATGCCACCAAGCGAGTTTCCTTGAAAAGTGTGACTTAAAGGTTAAGGCATGACTAGGAATGGGTTTTGACAGCTCCCTCTGAGGGGGAATAAAGTGGTGTTGTACTGGGAGGTCAAAGGAAAGTGTACGGGTCACTGCAACACTGTATTGACCACTACTTCCCGGTATCCACAGTCCAGTCAGAACATGGACTTTTAACAGTTTCACAAATGGATAACCATAACTACCAATGAAGGGTTCTTAGTAAGGGTTTGGAGGATATGTTCTTTGCTGAAACCTGTTGTCTCTATTCTCTACCATATTTGCCATTCATCAAACTTTGGTCGGGAATGCTGTCGCCCTTGAACAATTACCACTTCAATCAGCTGCACTTTCAAAAAAAATATTACAGACAGGAGTTGTCAGGTTTTAAGCTAAGAAGGGCAATTGAATTCCACTCAGAAGTATGAAATCTGGGAAAATAACATACACTGTCAGCACTGCTGTGCTGTAATGATTTGCTGATGGCTTCAAAAAGCCTAAAGCAAGTAAAGAAACCGCACAGCAGATGATGTGAAGAAAGATGTCTGATAAAATAAGGGCAGACAAATAAACACTTCAGCAATATTTGGCAAATTGTGAGTTTGTTCAGTTTTCTGGTCTTATACATATTTAGTACACTATCAGTATGGATATAAAACTTTTAGCAGCTCTGATGAAAAAAAAACTTCTTCAAGTTCCAAAAACCTGCCAGCCACAAGCCAGAGCAGTGAACTGTGTCAAGGGTGGAGTAGTCTGAACATGTTGCCGTCTCTCCTGAAGAGAAACTAAGGCCACACAAACTGTAACATATTGCCCGTAGCAGTGCAGCTAACACATACTCTGCATACTGTGAACACATTGCTGTGGCCTCCTGCAACCCTTCCTAGGCAATGTGTGTATACTTCTATGGTGCTTACATATATTCTTGCATACTGTGAGAAAGTAAGAAAAAAAAGACAAGAGTTACCTGATGATAAAAAAATACTTACAGTTGTTCCAGATTGTCCAGGCCCTTGAAGGCATTACTGCTGATGTTCTCAATGTTATTTTTGTAAAGATATCTGCAAAACAAAGAAACGAAATTAATATATTATTTTTTAAATCTGCCTAGGCTAGATTCAGATTTCAATCTTGCCTATGCAAGGTGGCAATTTCAATTTCGACTAGGCAGATTAAAATATTGCCTGCATTTCAATCTTGCTTGCACATATACTCACTACTGGTAACACAACTTTCCTGTCATATCATCAAGCATATCAAACCCACCAAGCTCAATCTGTCAATGATATATTACATATCTTCATGAATATTAAACTGTGACTTTGTAACATAATCCCATATATTCTTTTGAGAAGCGCACCAAAGTGTGAAATGAAACTACAAACATTGCATATTCCCTCTTATGAATAGTTCAGGCTTTAAAATCCATTTACTTGTCAAATATTATACAGAAGAGAAAAAGAAAAAAAGGAGGTTTTTTGGGTAGCTTGTACAAATAATCCAAATATGCCATGTATCAATATTTTGTGTAAACAATTCTTGACTGAAAAATGACAAATTTTATGGACAGAGAGTTAAGTATGCTATGTTGCTTTGAATATAAAAAATGTGAAGAACTTGAACTAAACAAATAAAAGTGAAGTAACCTATAAATCTGCCCCAAGTGTCTAAGTTAAACATAAAACCAGTGAGAACTTCACCACAAAAAACATCAATGATGCATGGAATGTTCACCATGGGCTGTCAGGGCAATTTGAAAACCTTCCCAATCAGGGGTAAGATTACTTCTTTCATGGCAGATATTGTTACTACATGTTATACACTGTGCAAACAATTTGGGTATTCCAGGCCTCAAACTGGATTCACAGATTACTTATAATTGCTCTAAAAAGTTGTCTAGCTGGGCATGAAAGAAGTTAATACTGAAAATGCAATTGATAACTTGCCTACCATGTAACATGTAATCAAATTATAACTGGAGCAAATCGTGTAAAGCCGACTAAATGTATCAGCACTGCCATACTTCACCTGGGTCCTTTTGGATAAGATTAGATGAAAACAAAACACTTATTGTGAGCAGCTTTCACACTACATGAATTCAACGACCAAAAAATGCATGTTTACATTAACAAGCTGAGAACATAGCTTTTACAACACACACGCACGTGCAGGCACACACACACACATACACGTACAAACATCACACACATCATAACACATCTGTGATGCTTCCTTCACATTGGCAGATTTGATTTTAATACTTACAAATAACGAAGTTCAGCAATTCCTTCGAATGCTCCATCTTCTAAAGTTTTGATGTGGTTATTGTTTAAAAGTCTGAAGTACAAGGATTTTGAAGATCAAAATCTATTAGAAGATAAAAAACATTCTGAATTTAATATGTTGAATAAATTACAAAAATATAAAGCACTTTAAAAATGGACAAGCAAAAGATATCTACAATCTGATGGAAGGAGATATTAAAACAAAATTTTGGAGATGTATTACATTATATTGTGAACAGATTTACAGTATAAGTAAACTGCATCTAACTTACAGTGTATTAAGGTGTGTCAGACCTGTGAAAGAATTGGGTGGAATGTGTTCTATCTTGTTAAACCTAAGATCTCTGGAAATTAAAAAAAGAAAATAGCATTAAAAACATACTCAATATATTATTATTTTGAATACAAAGGATCTATATATTTGTTTTGAAATAATTCAAAACAGAAGCCTGTCAGAGAGAAATCACAATTTAAAACACAATGGGTTACAGCTGTTGCTATAAGTAAATCAATTTTTTTTTGTCCAGATTTCAGGGTTGCCCACCCCAAGCGCTGAGTGAAATCACAGAAATAACGTCAGGTCATGGCAGGTTAATCTGGCATCAGCTTCTCCATTACAAGAACAAAGAATTTCAAATCAGATCATTTAGGTCACAGTGCCGCACCAAAATGCTATTACCACCTTGTAAGAATAAATGAACAAGAAATATTTTCTAACTCAGTGCCAGACTTGTCCTTAGCTAGTCCACAAAGTCACTGTGTACTTACTTTTACCCCACTTATTTAAGTCTATAGTAATAAATGCCATAATCGAACAAGATTCCTATAAACACTTGAAAAGTCTATTCTGTATTGAATAATATACTTGACAGACCTCCTGAGGTTACCAACAACACTATCACTTGCCTGAGTGTGCACTCTATGGAGCAACATTATAATCTCTACTGATATGGATAAGAACAATTTCTACAGATCTAATGTGATTTAACAACAGACAAGCAGATGTGGCCCTGGTGCACAGTTTACAGTCAGAGGGACAAAATGACCACAGGTAACACTATGGACTGTTATGTGGTGGCCAAGACAGATGCCTATGAAACCTACTAAGTACAACCTGAAATTGAAAACATACATGGTGTCGTGCAAACTTGGCGATAATAAAGTACAACTGATAAAAGTAGCTGTCATGTTCTATCAGCATGTTCCACATAAAATATTCCTATATCGTGTCATTTTCTGCAATCATGCCCATGTCAGGTATAATATATTGCAAGATACCCAGCATCATGTATGAAAGTCTAACCACAGTCAGAAAAAAACCTTTTTGTTCTTATATCTCAAAACTCAAAATTACCACTCAAATCTATAAAACTTTTTCTCTTTTCATAACCCATGCAACAGAATTGTATATTGTAAACATGTCACTTTGAACTCTCTTGAAGTAAACTGGTAGAAAAACTAAAGACAGATATGTTAATTAAGAGAAAAAAAAAACAGTGGAACAACCAAACGTACATATGTGTTACCCTTTCAATCAAATACAGTATAAAATTGCTAAAAGACAAAAAAAAAAATCCAGTTCTTTTTCATTGATATTTAATGTGTACATTTTTGTAAAAATAATCCTCCTGACAAAGCTAATTCAAGAGAAAAACCCACATGTCTGCCCTGAACCTTCACACTGAAAGCCTGGTTTATGCACACAAAAATGTACCATGAAGTGGACATTTCCCTCTGACAAGACCACTCTTATAAAAATCCTTTATAAATACTGTGTAAATATAAATGGTAGTGAACTCAAAGCAACCCAGCTTAGCAACCTTTTAGCCTCACCTGAGACTCTGATTATTACAATGACATCAATCGAAATTAACCCGAATTAACTGGTATTGTTGTACACTATTATGAGCAAACTTGGGTACATAAAATTTGTGTTTGAATAGCCTTCTAAGAAGGCCATTTTCAGGCATTTTGATATAAGTTTTATTGAATCATGTTACCTTATTAGGGTTAGCATCTGTAAAATTTAAGTCAATCATTTGTGGTGAGAAACCTTTTCAAAGTTGTCAACAGAATTTAGGACCCAATAAAAATATGCAGATAGCATCATTGCACTGAATTATACATCTCCAGCTGACATTTACAAGGTGATGATTCACTTGTTTTCAATACACGACCCTCAAAAAGAAGTTGTTTAAATCTTATTTAAATAGCAGTTGTAATCCAGCAAGAACAAATGTGGCATGTTTTTTCTAGATATGAAATAACTATTTGAGCTCTGACCTGAGACCACCAAAAACACACAAATATTATTCTACCCTGGAACAAGAGGTGACTTCTTTCCAATACAAACATCAATCTTATGAAGTTCAAAAAGTGTATATATACTGCAAGCTGAACAATTAAATTCCAAATCAAATCTGGAAGAACCGCCTTCTATTACATAAAAAAAAAAAAATGGTACACAATATTATAAAATCTCTGAAAACACTCCCAAGACTTTTTACTTAATGTGGATCTCGAAAAAATCAGATTTTGTACAGTGTTTTCTCTGACAAACACGAGGATCCACATCAATAGAAGTTAAATGCTGTCAATCATCTGAATATTTGGACTCTTTTTATCTATCTATATATAGGGACAGTGTCTGCAGTGAACCTCTAAAAGTAAAATAAGTTTCTCCATTTGTAATCCCTACTTAAGTTTTTAAAAATAAAATTTTTCTATTCTGCCAGATTACAGTTTATACGTTACATTGTTTCAAAGAACACAGAGGAGTTAACATTATTGCGAACTCCTTTCAATGTCTCCTACCATATATCACAATAAATCCCACACCCCAAGATAATATTGCACAACTGGAAAGCTGAGCAAAATGGTTTGAAAATCCATTTTAAATTTTAGATATATTTTGGCAAGTATTCAAAACCCTTCCCCTTTCAATATAATACAAAAAAAGTTTCACAAAAAGAATCAAAATTGAAGAGAAAATATTCAACTTAGGTCTTCAATGGTTGGCATTGTTAAAAAGTAATAGTCCAGCCAGCCAGCCAGCCCCCCTTTAATTATTCCCAGCACTGTCTGTGTTTGGTCTAAACATCTGTGTTCTAAAACATCTAGGAAGTGGGACAAATACAGCCTAAACAGAGAGGCAAATAACTGAAGTGGTAGGAACTTTATGCCCCACTGACGTCTAAAATCTTTTCCATTCTTTTATAGTGTGCCAGCGTCTCTGAGGAGTACACACAGGGGATACGCTTAAAACGTGACCATATTCTTTGTTCTGTTTACTGGTATGTGAGGCACTTTGCCTTTGAATTTGATCTATTTGGTTAGGAAATCACATTAGGAGTAGACACATTTGTGAACCACAACATAAGCACCTTGACTACCCACTAGTAAATTGGCCACACATTCCTGTTAGCACTTTCTAACACAAGACTAATTTCATTTTTACTAAGATTTAGACCCTGTGACACCCTGTGTTGGGGACACAAAATGACCTTAATTGCTAACTTTCCAGGAAGAATTTCACTGTAACATGTCGAAACTGGAACCAGTATACATACATGAAAACAACTGTTATTTTGTGGAATATGGAAAATTTGGAGCAGATGCCTTGGTGTTCAACAGAAATTTATTGTACAAACAAGTACAGAGACCAAATTATTACAAACTATTTCCTGTGAAGATTTAACTAAATATCTAAACAGAACTAAACACTGCCCCATTGCCTGCAATAACTTTGTCCTTTGATAGCCACATCCTAACAGCATGAAAAATGTTGACCAAGATTTTGAGTGTTTATATTTGATCAAAAACATAATAACAACCACCTCTCATGGTGTCCAACTCACTTACACTTTTTAAGTAAAATCTGCCAAAAACCGTGACAACTGGACCCTGAAATTTGCCTAGTTAGAGGAGGGGGCCTTAAAATTACTGGAAAGTATAATTTGGACGCCTTGAGCTTTAAAGTTATACTATCTGCGTTTGAAAATGTTATAATGTGCCAAAGTCATTTTCTATTTCTACATGAATTGCAAAGCTACTAGTCTTTCCCAATTCGAACCTTAAGCCAAAGATTTTTGTGGCAAAATTTTCAGATATGATAAATTTAACTTTGTAAGTGGTATGTAGTGTTAAAAGGTTCATGATGGGGGTAGTGGTTTGGAGGACAATTACAAAGTACCTCTAGTTTGCTGCTTGTGGTTGGGTTACAGACAATGCTCTTCCTGTGATAAGAAAACTTAAAAACGAGTTATCAAAAGGTGAGTCAAATACATGCCATTGAGTTAGCACTAGCTTTGAAATGCATCCATAACTACCAAATCTTTTTGGACACTATAGGCAAAAGAAATTTGCCAACTATAAAAAAACTTTATCTACCCATCATCCTCTATTGTCAACCATTTAGGTAAAACCAATTATCTTAAGCATCAGCAAATATGTACATACATGTTTCAAGATTGGGACTGAATCCCTGACTGCATTATGAGTATAGATTATATATAGGATATAGTGTAGATAGTTATAAATGTACTTAATCACCACTTCAGTGGTGGTTTCGTTTTGCAATAAAGCTTACATCATAATATCATACAGCTTTTTCTCCCCAAAAAACATGGTACCTGTATATGAATTACACAGTTATTAACCCACACTGAGCACAGTGCATTTGAGCTCTCCTCAGGTTTGAACCCATTAAAAAAGCTTCCCTTTTTCTGGTATAAGTTACACTGGATTACCATCTAACAAGCAGGGTAAATAACAAAGGGACAAAAAACTTTGATGGCCAAATCAGTCTTTTCAAAACGTGATCCTTGTGTAACTAAAACACATCTCGGCTTTTGTTGTGTTTTTTCCACTTCAAAGACAGGGAAGAAGATCCTTTAGATTTTTTCTGCCACCTCTTGACCCTGTGAGTGTGTGAAGTGCTGCTGCAGGCTAATCCAGACACTAATACTGTAAGGTGACTTGTCTCTGCACAGGCAGGGCCCCACTGGCACACAGTTGACCAACTAATATATACCCAACCAGATAGCTACTCTCGCCTCTATATATAGGGAAGACACTATATATGAAATCAACTGTGAGATTGTTCCCAAAGAATAAGAGAAATGAGAATGATTGTGTAAAATGTTACTGACTTCGTAGAGACATGTACAGACTTGTACTCTGTAAATGTATTGTGGTAATAATATTTTTTTGCTCGAACCTAGCATGTCAATCCATTAAAATTACATTTACTCTCTTGGGGCGGGTTTTGGTTGTGACAAATGAACCTTTCCCTTTAATGAAACACAGATACAAGTGCTGAAAGGTTATTTTTTTCCTGAAATAT